TTTCGGTTTTTATACTGCTTTTTTTTTAATTCACTAACGCTCTAAAAATGAATATTTCAGCCGCAGTAAAGAATCAACGTTGGCGGATTTTGGTTCTTGACATCCTTTACGATCGGTTACGATGCCTAGAGTACGGAGACCTGTACGACCTCGTCAACTTAGTTAGTTTGATAGGGGCCGTATAGTGGGACTTCGGGAAGCTGGACTTTCTTTTCGGGCAATTGCAGTTAGAGTGCAAAGAAGTGTAGACACTGTAGTTAGGTGTTGTCAGGCATGGCTTCGAGAAGGCCGTACGCAAAGAGCATGGGGCACTGGACGCCGCCGTAGAACAACAGACCGTGAAGATCGCCGCCTAAGATTATTGGCCTTTAGGGACCGTTTCTCCACTACCAGGTCCATTGCAAATGAATGGTTTGCAGAACACGGAAGACCTATTGGCATGCGACGTGTTTACCGACGAATGAGAAGTTTTGGCTTGTTTTCATACCGGCCACACTGGGTCCTCCCTTTAACTCGAGAACACCGACGTAATCGCCTTGAGTGGTGCAGACAACGGTCACTCTGGGATCAGGAATGGAACAGTATTGTCTTTAGTGACGAGTCTCGATTTTGTTTAGGCATGCACGATGGTCGTGCCAGGGTTAGAAGGCGACGTGGTGAAAGGAGGAATCCACAGTTTTTTGTTGAAAGACATGTTCATCACACTGTTGGAGTTATGGTTTGGGGTGCTATAGGCTTATGGTTCCAGGTCACCTTTAATCTTCATCAGAGGTAACATGAACGCGCAGCGTTATATCCACGAAGTTCTAGAACCCCATATTTTACCCTATCTTGACACCCTGGCAGATCCAACTTTCCAACAAGATAATGCCCGACCACATGTTGCAAGAGTCACAATAGACTTCTTTCAACATAATGATGTCACATTGTTACCATGGTCACCAAGATCTCCCGACTTATCCCCAATTGAGCACGTGTGGGATATGATGGGTAGGAGATTGCTCAGACTCTAGAAGCACTTCGAGAGGAGTTGGTGGTTGCCTGGAATGAGATACCTCAGGAGGACATTGACCACCTGATCAGAAGCATGCCTAGGCGCGTTGGAGAATGCGTAGCACATCAGGGTGCATCCACACATTATTAAAGGTCAAAGGGCTTTAAAGCAGTGCAATCATTTTGAAATTTTTATCATTTACTTATTATGCTTCATTAAGTACTTATACAAAATTTTATTAAAATAAAAGCATTTAAACTGGGTGTTCGGATTTATATGTCACTTAGTATATTTGGATTTTGGGAGTACGTACGATCTTAGCATTCTTTTGTAAATTATGGCTATCTACGCATATATTTTTCTGAATTTTATGATCCTTAAATGTACCCATTAATCTGAACCTTTAATTTTTGTTTCTCCGTCTATGATGGTTCTGTGAATATTGCGTCAAGTAGATCGATCCAGTACTTATGACCCATTGATATGCAACAGACATGAACTGACAAACCGAAATAAATGAGAAACCCGGACTTGTGTGATGCAGATGTCGTTGAGCAACAGAAAACTTGTGAACCAGATACGAATATTATCGCGAGTTTAATACTTCCATGGTTTAGGTAGTCGTAGATTTTGAAAATTGATTCAGACGCGGTGGGAATGTCGTTTAACACGCGATTTACCTTGCGCCACGACATCACTCAACAATGTTCAGTGCCACAGTGAGGTTATGCCACTGTCGACTCACACTGCCACGTGACAAAAAGAACGAATGTAAATGAGCGCCAAGAAAAACGGATTTCTAGTAGTGTTCCTTAAAACATAGTTCTTATGAAATTGTTTTTTCGCATCAGATAGACTTGATTTTCTGGCACACCATGTATACCTAGCTTTTGCAAGCGCCCTCTCATGTAGAAAGCTTAAACAGCCATCGCGTACAGTGGATGAACGAACGCCGTGAGGTCAAAAACAACCGAGTACGATCTTGCTATCACAACACGGACATTTTTCAGTAAGTTAGTTTGCGATCAGATTATCTGCGTCCGTTAGTGATTGGACCCCACTGTGATCATACAACCGAGGAACCGAAAAATCTTCATGGTGGAGAGGGAGCTGGTAGCCCAAACTTGTCGTAAGAGACAAGCGGGATGCCATGATCGTACTACACGCCTGAAGGTAGTCTGTCCCAAGGATGGACGCCCTGTCCAGCGATGGGGTCCAGGACTCTGTCGTTGAGTACAGGGGAACATCGGGTCCAGGACGTTGACCCGGGTTCCACACCCCTGTTGGAGCCAGGGGGATTCGCTGGGTCTGACATTGTCTGACACAGCGGGTTACACAAATCTCCGAATCCACGACTTGCGACGAGTTTGGGAGTCACCAGTGACCGATCGAAGAAACCTCGGTTGTATGACCTAGTGGAATCTAATACAAATATATATTAGGACTGCCTTGAAAAACCTCGAGTTATACAGGGTGTCCGAAGAATAGACGGAGATATCTTAGAGGGTGATTCCTTGTTGAAAAACATGGAAAAAAAGTTTCTGGAAACATGGATCTACAAATGCAGAGTTTTCAAGATTCAGGGTGATAATTTTTTTGTTTAATATCTTAAACTATTTCCTCGATTCTGTTGAAATTTGGTAATATTCTTTTTTGGATTAAGAGGCTAGTTTAGCCCTGAATAGATTAAAATTATGCCGGGGGGCACCTCAGCGAATATTATTGGCAAAAAATGTACCCCACTGGGGTACACAAGAAAACGGTTTTTATTTTTTTTCTTGAAAACTAAGTTGGATACGAAAAAAAATACAAGAGGAAAAGAAGCTGTATTTTCAGATGCTTATTCAAACAACAAATATTAAGGTTACAAAATAGGCAGTGGCGTACTAATCTACCGTGATGTGAACAGGGTTTTGTCGTCAATGGGAAGGGATGGCTTCCAACAAAATCGGCTGCGAAACAACTGCAAGGCAGCTACAAAACAAAGCTGTAGGAGTGTGAATGGTGGTTCTCAGCAATGTCTTTCCACGCTGAAGGTTGAAATCCCATTAGAAAATGGACGGAGTAGCACCCAAACCCAAACAACTAAACGTAAGGTACAAAATAAAAGGGTGCTTGTTTGGTGTTAACGAAACAACGTCCACATACAACCAAAACCTCAACGGAAAGCAAAAATGGCGCTGGACGCGTCTGCACACGTAAATTTCTGAAAAAAGGTATCTTGATGGGAAAAGAAGGTATCTCGGTAGGATAGCAAATATTATTAGGTTAGTACGTGTAGAAATCACAAGGTGGCGTGCTAGCTGCCAATAGGCAGAACCAACTCTCTACGAGGGATCAACGATATTTTATGAGGAAATTTCTGAGATGGTCGTTAATAATACATTAGTGTCCAAAAGATTGCAACACAATACTGAATCGCTGAGAAAGAAAGATATAATACGTGTGCAATTATACAATCAATAAACTATGAAATTTGCCAAAAGAAAATCGTTAAACAAGGTTTGGCCTAGGAATCGGTACTCTATAATCAATAAAGAGAAATTCAAACGACTGGTAAGTGCTCAAAATAGCAAATAAAGGTTACATCATTTTAGCACGTGACAATTTTTTTACCAATAATATTCGCCAAAGTACCCCCCGGGACGCCACTGGACCTTATAATTTCAATCTGTTTAGGGCTAAATTAGTCTCTTCATACAATAAATTATATTGCCAAACAGAATCTAGTAAATATTTTTTAAGATATTAGAATTATTTTTAAGTTTTATCACCCTGTACATTGAAAACTGCATTTTCAGACCAATGTCTATAGGAATTTATTTTGATATTTTTCAACAAGGAATCACCGTCTAAAATATTTCCGTCTATTTTTCGAACACCTTGTATGTGGAATTCAACACAAAACACATGTAGAAAGTGCTATATGCATGGAGAGGATGCCAGCCTTCTCGTGTTGCATAGATTTCATTTTCTGAACACCTTGTATATCTAACTTTTGCAGACGCCATCTCGTGAAATCAAACAGGAGAATGGAAGATACGATATCCAAAGGAGGAAAATCAGCGCTGTGAGTGTGGTTTTTCCTTATACTTGAACCACCACGAAGGCTTGAGGCTTAAGCACACCCATGTGTACCGTGGGGCTATAGGGGGAAACAGGGGAAAGGGGAAACGCCACACGGACTCTAGCAACATGCACCGGGTGGTACCTCCGCGTTCTACAGTCAGAGACCATGTATCACCTACGGACCACCACAACATCCATAGCCAAGAGAAACATTTTCTTGGGACGAGATTCGAACCTGCGCGACGCACGGCGCCTGATCAGGAGACCCGTAAAGCTATGTACAGATATGTAACAACACCGCGAACCGACACACGCGACGAACCGCAGCGCGCGCTTTTTGATGAACAACATTGCAACGAGCATCACCACAAACCGAACCACGTCGTGCAACCACATCGCGCAACAAAATGTCGATCCAATTTTGATTTTTGTCGTTCAGTGAAAGACCTCATTTTTTTAATTTATTGTAATGCAGGGTAAGTTTTGCATCCCACAACAATTCCCCTGCTCTGAAATGCTCTATAAGCAAAAGAGTTTTCTACTCCGGCAATTCCATCTTTTCTTCACGGGCTCTATCCATTTATTGATATGAGCGCGTGCTCCCCGGTCCGATATCCCTGTCCAAAAATGTGCAACTTTGTCGCGAGCCTTTCCTTTGATGTTACGCTGAAAAACCGAGTCTGGATCGGGCCGAACGGCGAGCTGTAATGCTTATCGGGTTCGCAACGGCGTTGTTTTCACCGTCTACACTAGCGCGGCGCGGTTCGTCGCGTGGTTCGCGCGTATCTGTACATAGCTTAACGTTTACCATTACTCCACCGCTCTTGCTATCACAACACCGACATTTTTCAATAAGTTAGTTAGCGACCGAATTATCTGTGTCCGTTAGTGATTGGACCCCACGGTGATCATAAAACCGAGGAACCGAAAAATCTTCATGGTAGAGAGGGAGCTGGTAGCCCAAACTTGTCGTAAGAGACAAGCGGGATGCCCCATGTACTACACGCCTGATGGCAGTCCATCCCAAGGATGGGCGACCTGTCCAGCGGGGGTGTCCAAGACCCCCATCGTTGAGACAGAGGAACATCGGGTCCAGGACATTGACCCGGGTTCCACACCCCTGTTGGAGCCAGGGGGATTCGCTGGGTCCGACGTCGTCTGACACAGCGGGTTACACAAATCTCCGAATCCACGACTTGCGACGAGTTTGGGAGTCATCAGTGACCGATCGAAGAAACCTCGGTTGTATGATCTCGTGGAATCTAATACAAACAAATTAGGATATTTCGGAAGCATTTCCCCTTCGATAACTAAAACGACAAATGTTGAAGAAATACCACTAATATTTCTTTTCTTTCTTTCAACTATGAGACCAAGGACAGATTTAGGAATGTGTCTAGACTTCGAAGATTTGTCATATGCTTGAGAGCTACCACTGACGAAGAATCCGGTGTATGACCTAGTAGAATTTAGGACAAAACGCATGTAGCAAGTGCTATACCGGGTAATTTTCCAAGGTGGCTCACCTCTATAACTTTTTTATTATGGAAGATAGAAATTTCTGGGTTGTACAGGGTGGTCCATCCATGTGTGGACGGAATATTACTCGAAAACAAATTCAAGTTGAGAAAATCTATTTATGGCATGTTTTACACGATATTTGAGGGCACATTTCTAAAATATTGGCAATTATACAGGGTGTCCCAATTTTGACCTACATATCAAAGTTGTGATTTTTTAAATGGAATGCCCCATATTTTATTGCATATTTGGATAAACCAATTCAAAAGAAGAAGATTGATATAACATACTATGGGGTTTTGGTAACTAGCGACTGAGATGTAAGGTGTTTTGTCCAGAAAAACCGTCCATTTCGGCAACCCCTCAATCCGCCATTTTGAAATCTAGAGTGCTGAATTTTGTATAAAAAAACCTACACACCTCAGCTTTTATCTTATTTGTTACTTCTTCGAATTTTCATTTTGGCTCATACAGGGTGGTCAAAAACGGGAATTATGCTTTTTCTCAAAAATTTTCAATTGCATCACCCTGTATATTTGTGCAAGTTTGATTCAGATAAAATCACTAGATTTTGAGTTATTATTATTTTCTTCTCTTTTTTTGTGAAGTGTTTAATTATTCACCTATGTATTATGTGTTCATTCAGATCACTAATGTTTTTCTATTTTCTTTTTTTTGTTATTATTTTCTGATTCATTGTCTATATATATATGTGTATATATGTGTGTGTACATGTGTATATATGGTACCATTTTGTTTTGATTTCCTGTCATTGGGTGTATACCTGTTGGAAATAAATATATTATTATTATTATTATTATTATTATTATTATTATTATTATTATTATTATTATTATTATTATTATTAAGCTTTTAAAGGAACAACACACCAAAATTAAGGAAAAAAATCACATCATCCATGGAAACAAAAGACAAACAATGGGCTAGTTCCACATTGCCACTAGAGTACAGATTTGAGGTAAAAACTAATAACACAGAATAGTATAAATCAGCTTCAAGCGTACCTAATAGAGAAAAACAACTATAACAACAACATAAACCTAATGTACAAAAACTGCTCGAAAATATCCCCACCATGTTGAATACACAGCCGTAGTCTTTGGATAAATGACCGTTGCACATCCCTCAGCATGTGTTCCCTTATGTTCAGGAAAGTATCCTTAATCTTTCCCTTCATATTTTCCGGGGTAGATAGTGGATATCTATACTAAGTGACATATAAATCCGAACACCCAGTTTAAATGGTTTTTTTTAATAAAATCTTGTACAAGTACTTAATGAAGCATAATAAGTAAATGATAAAAATTTCAAAATGATTGCACTGCTTTAAAGAACTTTGACCTTTAATAATGTGTGGATGCACCCTGATGTGCTACGCATTCTCCAACGCGCCTAGGCATGCTTCTGATCAGGTGGTCAATGTCCTCCTGTGGTATCTCATTCCAGGCAACCACCAACTCCTCTCGAAGTGCTTCTAGAGTCTGAGGAGGACGTTGCAAATTGAGCAATCTCCTACCCATCATATCCCACACGTGCTCAATTGGGGATAAGTCGGGAGATCTTGGTGGCCATGGTAACAATGTGACATCATTATGTTGAAAGAAGTCTATTGTGACTCTTGCAACATGTGGTCGGGCATTATCTTGTTGGAAAGTTGGATCTGCCAGGGTGTCAAGATAGGGTAAAAGATGGGGTTCTAGATCTTCGTGGATATAACGCTGCGCGTTCATGTTACCTCTGATGAAGATTAAAGGTGACCTGGAACCATAAGCTATAGCACGCCAAACCATAACTCCAACAGTGTGATGAACATGTCTTTCAACAAAAAAACTGTGGATTCCTCCTTTCATCACGTCGCCTTCTAACCCTGGCATGACCATCGTGCATGCCTAAACAAAATCGAGACTCGTCACTAAAGACAATACTGTTCCATTCCTGATCTCAGAGTGACCGTTGTCTGCACCACTCAAGGCGATTACGTCGGTGTTCTCGAGTTAAAGGGTGGCCGGTATGAAAACAAGCCAAAACTTCTCATTCGTCGGTAAACACTTCGCATGCCAATAGGTCTTCCGTGTTCTGCAAACCATTCATTTGCAATGGACCTGGTAGTGGAGAAACGGTCCCTTAAGGCCAATAATCTTAGGCGGCGATCTTCACGGTCTGTTGTTCTACGGCGGCGTCCAGTGCCCCTTGCTCTTTGCGTACGGCCTTCTCAAAGCCATGCCTGACAACACCCAACCACAGTGTCTATACTTCTTCGCACTCTAACTGCAATTGCCCGAAAAGAAAGTCCAGCTTCCCGAAGTCCCACTATACGGCCCCTATCAAACTCACTGAGTTGACGAAATCGTACAGGTCTCCGTACTCTAGGCATCGTAACCGATCGCAAAGGATGTCAAGAACCAAAATCCGCCAACGTTGATTCTTTACTGCGGCTGAAATATTCATTTTTAGAGCGTTAGTGAATTAAAAAAAAGCAGTATAAAAACCGGAATGTCCAACTGATAAGGCTGAAAATTTTTTCAGTTGTTACTTACAGTAAGATAAATACATTCACCAACTTTTATTAAAATAAAACCATTTAAACTGGGTGTTCGGATTTATATGTCACTTAGTATATGAACCTCTTGTTTAACGTAGCCCCATAGAAAGAAGTCCATCGGTGTCATATCTGGTGATCTAGGAGGTCAAGATATACGCCCATCACGACCGATCCAAGGATTGTTACTCCAGGTGACATCCTCCAAAATCAAATCTGTATCCTTAGTGACAATATGGAACTAGCCCACTGTTTGGCTTTTGTTTCCTTGGATGATGTGATTTTTTTCCTTAATTTTGGTGTGTTGTTCGTTTAAAAGCTTAATAACTCAAAATCTAGCGATTTTATCTGAATCAAACCTTATACAAAAAAAAAGCTTATAGAAAATTGAATCCAAACTTGAACAAATATACAGGGTGATGCATTTGAAATTTTTGAGAAACAGTACAAATCGCGAGGTGGGGGGTTTTTCTATACAAAACACCTTATATCTCAGTAGCTAATTACCAAAACCCCATAGTATGTTATACCAATGTTCTTCTTTCGAATTGGTTTATCCAAATATGCAATAAAATTTGAGGCATTCCAATTGAAAAATCACAACTTTGATATGTAGGTCGAAATTGGGACACCCTGTATAACAGCCAATATTTTAGAAATGTGCCTTCAAATGTCATGTATAACATCCCGTAAATAGATTTTCCAAAAATGTATTTGTTTATGAGTAATATTCCGTCCATACACGGATGGGCCACCCTGTATATTATAGAGAAATTATCATTTTTTGACATACTCCCTTGCTTAAACCGGAAGTACGCCAAGGCAAGTGGATATGTCAAAAAATGTATATTCATATATTCAAATTTCTCTGTTCTATCTTCAATAATAAAAAAGTTATAGGGCGAAGCTACCTGGAAGAATCACCCGGTATGTAAGGATTGGGACGCCAGCGTTTTTTTGTTGCATATATTTCATTTTCTGGCACACCTTGTACATTTAATTTTTGCAAGCGCCGACTCGTCTAGAAAGTTTGAGCAATAATTACACTTGAGCTATAGGCGCACAATGGAAGATACGATGTCCAAAGGAGGAACGAACACCATTTCCTCGCCGCGAGGTAAAAAACACGCTATGATATTGCTACCACAACACCAACATTTTTCAATAAGTTAGTTTGCGATCGAATTATCTGTGTCCGTTAGTGATTGGACCCCACGGTGACCATACAATCGAGGAACCGATCTATCTTCATGGTAGAGGGGGAGCTGGTAGCCCAGATTTGTCGCAAGAGACCAGCGGGAACCTGTTATACTATACTAGGCAGTCTATCCCAAGGAGAGACGCACTGTCCAGCGATGGTTTCCAAGAATCCATCGTTAAGTGCCGGGAAAGATCGGGTCCAGGACATTGACCCGGGCTGCAAACCCCTGTTGGAGCCAGGGGGATTCGCTGTAGTAAATTAGCACAATTCGATGTGTATACGATTGGTGATGGATATAGGATCATGTGAGGGTGAGGTAAGAAATATATAATGATGTAAATATACATAAGGGTTTCAAAATTTTCGCTTCGATTTCCAGCTTCGGATGCCGCCTGATGTTTGGTGAAATACAGTCGAATATAATCTCAAAATGGCGTTTAAATTAGCCTAAATTAAAAATAATCGTATATCACATTCAGCCAAAAAACATTGAGACATGAGTATCAGATTGCTATAATTGGGATTATTTAGTCATATTGAAAGAAAGAATATTGAACGTCGTATGATTACTCAGCGCTTCACAATTTAATTTAAAGTTATAAACCTTTAAAAAATGAATGATCAGGAACCTGAAATACGCGCAAATATTAATATTAACAAATTATAACTTTATAAAGCTTAAAGTATGAATTAAAATGATTAGAAATATTAGGAACGGTACACAATATAAAACTTAGTAACTTTTTTTAAGTTTATAATATTCGACATATTTTAAGATTATATTAAAAAATTATTGAAATATCGAAAACACATGAAAACATGGCTTAAAAAAGTTCTAACAAATGAAAATGACAATAAAACATCCACGCATTTTATCGAAAATTATAAAAGTTTTGTTACTTGTAATATGTTTTATCTGCCCCCTGGAATTAATGTTTAGAACCTTGTTCCCAAGGTTTGAAAAACATCCGATTGTTGTCTATAACTCGTATTTACCTGCTGGATTTTTTAATCCGGTGGACAGTAGAAAGGCCCTCCTGGATGAAGTTACAGAATCATCAACCCATACTTTACTTGTAGTGTGTCCTGCGTTTACCCACGTTTCATCAAGGTAATAAATCTTCCTGTTTTGATTTCTATATTTCCCAATTTTTGTTAAATAATCCCTCCTCCATAGCACAATTTCTTCTCTATCCAGTAGTAAACTATTACGACCCCGTTTTTTCCATTTGAAATTTAAATGCTTCAGTAACGCATGGAAAGTTGATCGTTTGAAATTTGGCAACGTTGTATCTCCATTTACCTCCTGCAGTACTTTATCTATAGTAGGTATTTCATTCCTAAAGAAGAATTCATGCACTTTCCTCCTAATCGCATGCTTATCAGCTTCATCCAATGATTTAACAATACTTTTGCGATATTTACTGGTCATTGGCTCAGAAAAGGTGTGATTTTTTTTGTATTGTCTTAACACATTAAACACTGATGCGCGACACACCCCAACTTTGTGAGAAACCTTCACAACAATTTCTTTGATGGTTGATCGTTCTCCTCGCGCTCGATCTTATATATATTCAAAATGACCTCTTTCATTTCTGCACTCAGGTGTCTTTTTTTAGAGCGTTTCCTAGGTGGACTACAAGAGTTTACAACTTCATCGGCAGTACCTGTACTACTGGGCATTTTGCGCAAGCAGTTGATAACAATGACAATCAATAACAAGGTATAACAATAACAACGACAAACTCAACAACTTAATAAGATAACAAACGAAAACGTCCAAAGAAATATCAAATTGCAATGATGCACACGACATACGTAACACGTCTGAACCTGAATGTGACTCTGCCTTGATACGACTGCTCTGCCGCTCGGCATAGGCATTTAATTGCGAATTGACCAATGAGGGCTCCTGTTTTACGTCGAGACGGCGGCGTTAGCGTGAAAATCACCCGAACCTTTTGTTTACATCCGGTCTATCTCTTATCTGAATATACTGTAGGTTGTTTTTGCTAAGCAATAAACAGGCTTATACCTGGATTAAGTACATGTCTTCTCTACTGTAATAGGTAGATGGAGGTGATGCTGCCAGAAATGGATGTGTGCGATCAATAAACAAACCACAAGATTGAACTTCCGTGTCCAATGATTTTTGTATTGCTTTTTTTATTGCCTTACTAGAAAACTCTGTTGGGTATATGATGGAGTTTACTAGAACTTTACAGCTTGCTGTCTGCCTTCTTCAACAAACTTCACCAAATCGAGACGCTGTTAACCTTATCCTCCGATGAAGACGCCACAAAGTACAGTCCTGTGATTTGGTGACTTGTTCGATCTGCAAAATCTCGTCGTCACTTTTTCTAAGATTCCCTGAAAATTCTTGCTTAGCAACCTCCAAATCAATATCGTACATGTCAAGATTTTGACAGAATTCGCCATAAAACTATTCATTTTCTTTGGAATTGCTCTCCGAATTGTTAGTTATTTTTATATCAGCTTTTTTTTGGTCTGAGTTTCTTTTCAAGATTCTTGCGTTTGAGCCTTTGTTCCATCTTAGCGATAAGCGAGGTTGGACTAAGTTTAGAACGCAAATTTATTTGGACCACATAGACAGGCCGCTCGATATTGTGGCTCACCACTGCTGCAGCACATCTTCCATGGTATGACCTCTTCTTGCAATAATTTATTCGCTTACCCCAATGCATTTTGTGATTATAGAGTTGAACTGCTCCACACTATTGTTGTCCTCATCATGAATTAAACTCACTGCACTCGTAATTAAAATTGTCGCATATGACCTTTTATTGTCCATTATCAACCATGATAAAAAAAGGCACTCAAGAACAATCATACCAACATGAGGGTAGAACAATACTAAATGATCACTTGCTGAGTACCAAAATAGGAAACGATTTACAGGCTAGATCGCTAATCGAAATCCGACTCTGTTATAAAAATTTACCTCGGTACGCACCCGCAGTCATCCTTTCCTCTTTTAAAGTAGCGTCGACGACCGTCTAAGCCCAGCCCATCCTCGTTTCCTTTTCACCGCCCCGTTACCTTAGCAGATGGTGCTCGTGATTGTAGGAGCCCCGTTAAGAGCGTTATGCTACGCGGATCCCGTTTTATTATTTCCTGTCCGATAAATAAAAAGACAAACTTTGAAGAAATACCACTAAGGTCTCCGTTCTTTCATTATTTCTTTTAACATACAGGTATATTATCAAGGGCAGTAAATTGTTCGTCTTGGAAGGGGGACAGCTGCGATTAAAAATACAGCCGGAGGAGGGGAGAGGTTGGTGGGGATAGATATACATAGTAGTATCATATCTAAAGTTATTACATCTGAACTATAATTGAATTTCATTTTAAGAATGATTTTAACAACGGTGTCAATAGTGAATATTACCTTTCAATAGGCGCAGATGCTGCAGGTATCGATGAAAGATCTCTTGCCGTTAAAACTAAATTTGAGAATACATTTATATCCCTTTTCCATCACTATTTGCATCAAAATACAAAATACAGTTGATCGATTGTACAAATAAATATCGCTGAAGATCTTTGGTAGAAGAAAAATATAAATAGCCGTCAAGTACCTATCAAGTAGTTTGAAAATGATTGACCTCAAGTCATGTAGAACAATAAAAAATTAATTCAAGTATTAACATTTGAAGCAATTGCTTTCAAGTCATGTAAGTATTTTATAAATATATCATGCTACTTGACTTTAGGAATTTGTTGAATAAGGCGAAATGTACATTTAAACGCTCGTACAATGTTCGGTTTTTGAGATATGAAAAACTAAGGCACTTACCAACATTCGCAGGCACATCGAGTCATCAACAGGAGAAGTGCAGCTCATACAACTTTTTGAACCGGGTTCTGGTTGGTACTGGCCATTTGGACAAAATTTGCAAAAGGAGCCATCGTCGCTGCTGAAGGTGTTTCTTGGACACATCACTGTAATTTTGAGTCAATATTTTATATCAACAATGCCCTCTATATAGGACAAAATACGTTACAAGAGGTTTCTATAATTTCCGATTTAGTAGAAGATCGGATTAAGAAGCGACCTTCACCCATCCGTTTAATGGATGAAAAGTATTTAAGGGATTCCCTACACTATGCGGGAAGTACATCTTACAATTCACAAAATTTGATAACAGTTTTCCATTATCCTTATTCATAAATAAAATTCTGTAAAAAGCAGATATGCTGTAGGTCAGTGGCAGAGCAGTGGTCTTGTAAACCAGGGGTCGTGAGTTCAATCCCCGCAGGAGGCAGATTGTGATATACCTTTTTTTATTTTTTTTAACACCGTTTTATGTATGTATGTACGTATTAGCGCTGGCTATTTATCCTTCTTGCAACTAATTTCATCAGCTCTGAAAAGTATTTCACCAGTATTTAGTTTAACCACTTTCTGTGTCTATACAAAACTGCATTCTGGTCTACATGCTTCTTGCTTTGTAGACATACTGGTAGGTTCAGCCTCTTGAGACAGAAATCAAATATATAGAATTTGTGCTTTTCCAGAAATCCTCCCAATGCTAATACAAACAATTATGATCAGTTATGATTTGTTAATTTTATTCATCTGTGACTTAGTTTAGTCCGATGACGGAAATTTGAAATGTGCCCACAAAAATGATTTGTAGGAGTCACTGTTGTGGTTGATTTCTCGATAGTAATTGTTTCCTGTAGATTGAGATATTGCTCAACCAGTCTTGTTATCCAGGAAAAGATCTGGGGGCATAAAATGTTACCAGACATTTGAGAAAAAAAATAATATTTTAAATTTCAATAGGCATTAAGAGTAATCCATGTAATTTTTTCTTATGAATGTGGAAGTGGAACAACCACAGACAAAAGCTGTATTTTGTGTTTTTGGCTCACAAAGAAATTGACAGTAGCTAGAAAGTCATATTTTTCTATTTAACTCTTACGTTTAGTGGATTTAGCATGGATAATCAGTTCATCAGTTGTTGTTTGAGTGTTCTGGAGAGCAATAGAGTTGTAGAAGAAAGAAAATGTCACGACAACAAACAACCCCGCTTGAGAGACGAATGATCATCAAATGTTATGAGATGGATATATCCAGCGCGGAGACAGCAGATCAGTTTGATATGTCGGTAATAGTTTACAATATACAGTCTTTTGGATCATAGTACACTTTCAGTGTATGTATACTGGAAATCTATTTTGAATAACAATATGTATTTTTTTCAGAATACTACGTGGCCCGTATTAGATTTTTGAAATAATGCTTTTGTTTATGGATTTATACAGAAACTGTTTTTTTTTAGAATTCTAGATTGATTTATTACTTGTTTGTATTTTAAAGGATATTATTTTTAGTTTAATTACATGGAATTGACTGTTTTATTTTATTATTTTATACTATATTATACAGGGTGACTTCGAAGTTGAGTCATTTATTTTAACAGTGAGTAGATCTGATCAAAAGAAATGTTTTTTCCTTTAACATTTTTCTGGTAAAATTAAAGTAACAAAGTTATAGCCCTTTAGAAGTTTGAGTACCGCCCTGTCTCGATAATAATATTATGTGCTCGTGTTTGGCAACAACGGATATAATCCGCCTTATCGGTTCATCGCATTGGAAACAAAAAAGCGAAAGAATTTGAAACGCTTATCACGATGTTTTTACTACAATTTTATTCAGTTGTATTCAGTCAATGTGTCAGTCGGTAACGCGTGAGTGAATAGTGGTGTTTGTTGCGTGGCTCAAACAAAATAAAAAATGGCAAATGTTAATGTAGTACAAAGGGCTCGTGAATCAGGTGACTTAAGACCTCACAGGGGAGGGCATGCCGGTGCTCCAAAACCGCACGTTCAAATACAGGTCCGCACTGAAATACTTGCCGGGAGGAAACTTTATAAAACAAGGTAACATTTTTTTTATTTTTTTTTATTTTTACACACATATTTTGGTTTATCTTCCTTCTACAATCATTATCTGAAAATTAATGACTCAACTTTAAAGTCACCCTGTATATACTCCATAATCATTTGAATTTTTATTGAACCACTCACTACCTTATTATAACAATGAGCTGATGGATTATAATTTATTGTTTGCGCAACCTACGTTTTTGGCTTGAATGCCAAATATTTGACCTACCATAGAAAAATTCATCTCTCAATCTCTCTGTTTGGGGACCAGTTATTAAACAGACCGTCGGCAATGAGTAATCAGGGGAGCAGAAACACTTCGTTCTGCGACCTGTCTTTATGTAGATTGTCCCTCTTTTTTCCTGTATAATTTATTGCCGGTTTATTTCTTTCATCTCCTTTACCGCCGTCTGAGCAAGAGCTAAACATACACGGTAATGTTTACCGAAAGGACATGCGACAAATAGGTTACAATAACAATAAGAGTTTTGAGCGTAGCAACTAGAATTCTTAGAGAAATTTTACACGGAGCACCCTTCAAAACACTTTAAGGAGTGTGTATATTTCGTATTTTCAAGTGTTGTGTTCTGAAGATTTAAAAATAGGAAAATTGATATATGATTATCTTAAAAATCGCTGCAAATCCTTCCACTCTCAAATCTGCCGTTGGTAATAAAGGAATTATGAACTTGATCATTTTATAGAACAATTGCGTATAACTGGCTGGAATGAAGCTTCTCAAACGCTGGGAGATTTTAGGTACGAATTCGCGTTGTGTATCGGCGGAGTGTGGGTAGAGACAGTTGATTATGATTTGTTCACCAAAATATTCATACAGATCATATTGTGGCGGAATCATGAATCTTAATATCCATAATAGTTAGTTAACCATGCTGCTAAACTCTGGGCGCTGAAGAAAGACATTAAACGTAAACAGTGATCAGCACGTGAACAGATCCCTCGAAAGCATCCACGGATATACTTCAGTCACTTTAGGTCTAAACATCCTCGGCAGTGTATTTCTAGTGAATCCACAGACCCTTTTTCGTGTCATCTTGAGACTAGAAAAAGGATGACTGTTAAAATAAGTTACCTTGATCTTTCATGAGCTCCCAGTACAAAACATCATCGATATATTTTTGATGTAGGAACAACAAATTGGTTTAGAAAACATCCACTTTGAACCTAAATTGACTGGAGTAACATCGATCTACAGACAAATTCAAGGTCACTAGCAGTCGTCGGCGCTCTACGAATCTGCACAGGTTTGGACTTGTAAACGTGATTGTAGATGACACGACAGGCATCTAACAGTTAATTCACGCACAGGATTGCATTGCATACGCATTACGCATTCAGTAGCGTATACTCGTTTTTCGCGAGTGGAACGTTTTGTTTATATATTGCCTAAGATACGATGTCTGACACAGATACAGCCGACGAAGTGGTTGACATCAGCGCAACCCCACCCAAAAAAAGGGCTAAGAAGCTACATTTAAGTGCAAATGAAAAACAAATAATATTAAACATATACAAAAACCAAATTCAAGAAAAACCCGATTTGGTCGTGGACGAAGTTATATGTAAGGTAGCACATATTTCTGGAGTATGTCGGTCCAGTGTTTATAGGATCATTAAGGAATATAGGAGCACTCACTCACTTTCTGAGCCAAAACCGTATCCTGCAAGAAAAAGGATAACGGACGGAGTAGATGACTTTGATAGAACTGCCATCAGGAGGAAAGTGCATAATTTTTTCTTCCGAAATGAGATACCTACAGTAGATAAGATATTAAGATTAGTTAATGCTGATGAGGATCTTCCATCATTTAAAAGAACCACATTCCGAAAACTTTTGAAGGAACTTAATTTTCGATTCTTGAAACGGGGAAGAAACAGTATGTTAATAGAGAAAGAAGAAATTGTTGTGTGGAGAAGGGAATACCTTAGGAAGATTCGGAAGTTTCGCGATGAAAAAAGAAAAATTTACTATTTGGACGAAACGTGGGTGAATGCTGGACATACTCAAGCGAAAGTTTGGGTCGACAAATCAGTAACATCATCAAGGCAGGCTTTTCTAGACGGTCTTTCGGCTGGATTGAAAAATCCTGCAGGTAAGCTCCTTCATCTATCCGGCAATTTAATTTTGATAAATTCGGGCAAATAATATGCTGTGATAGCAGATAATGTGTGATATTCTCCAAAAATGGTGCATTCGCAGTGTAGTCATTAGGAAAAAAACTTCGACCCTCTTTTAAGCGTTATTTTGAAATTTATTATCATTTTTGGGTGCAGTCAATTTGCTTTGAATGGGTTTTGAGAAGTTGCAAACTTCAATTTTCTACGTTTTTCAGTTTTTGATCAGCATTCCGTGACTCTTAAATTCAGCTAAATGAACTCAATTGCCTCATTCCTTCAAATTTAATCAATCCATAGTGTAAGGAATAATTTATTTCCAGGAAAAGGCAAACGGCTGATCATTTGTCACGTAGGTAGTGAAGACGGCTTTGTTCCCGAAGCACTGTGGGCCTTTGAATCAAAAAAGACAGGGGACTATCATGAGGAGATGGACGGCAATTCCTTTGAAAATTGGTTCTCCAAAATGTTACTAAAGCTGGAGAATAACGCTGTTATTGTACTGGATAATGCCCCGTACCATTCTAGAAAAATAGAAAAAATTCCCACAATGGCAACTAAAAAAGCAAACATACAACAATGGCTGGCCTCAAAACAGATCGATTTTGATGAAACAATGGTCAAGGGTGAATTGATAAGTATAGTCAATAGACATAAATACAAATACGATTTTAAAATGATCGACGAAATGGCCAAAAAACAAAATAAAATTGTCTTGAGACTGCCACCCTACCATTGTGAGCTGAACCCTATTGAGCTGATTTGGGCCAACATAAAGCAATACGTGGCGTCGAATAATAATACTTATAAATTTTCTGATGTTAAAAATCTCTTTCACATCGCAGTCAATAGAGTTACGGCAGAGGAATGGAAAAACTGTATCCGCCACGTTCGGGAGAAGGTTGAGGTCAAAATGTGGGATTTGGACAATGTCATCGATACCCAAATTGAACCTCTAAACGTCATTTAAACGATTCAGAAGATTCAAGTTCCTCTTCTGAATGAGTGCGCGCAGCTTACTTACTAATAACTAAAAAGTGTAGTTAACTCATTTGTGAATCTCTAACTGAAATTTACTGTAAAAGATAATAATTATCTTGTATGAAATTTTTGATGACTACCCATAAGATCTTGATGCGGTCCTGTAATGTCTCCTGCGCATAAACACTCACTCACGAGCAATATGCGTGTATTTGTTTGGGTTTAGTTTCTTTCTTCAGCGCCTAGAGTATAAGCATATTATTAGCGTGTATGTCCAGCTTTATATCCACCCTTCAACTGGATAGATACACCCACACACATGCCGGTATACAATAGGTTTTTTTAGAAAAGTTACAGGCGGATGGTTCACCTGAATGGGTTCCCTACCTTTAATTTTATTGATTTCAACAGAGTAATGCGTAGTTTGGCATGTCATAGAGTAATGGAGTTTATACAGGGTAATACGTATTATTATTTTTTCTGCCTCGACGATATATGATAAATAGCATTTTCTAGAAAATAGGCTTGAAAAATAGAGTGCTTTAGCGTTCTACCCATTGGCGATAACCCACCTGTCGTTCTGGTTTCATTGACATTGTGCAATATCAGTCACTGCTATACTGATTCTAACACAGGTTGGAATGGATTATTGTTCGGTCACAAGTTTGAAAATGAGTGCAAGAGCGCTAAACTTAGTAACCAGAAAAGAAAGCTTTTTCAGTGTAGATGAAAACAATCACTTTTTTTTTGAATGTTCGTATTTACTTTTCAGGGAACATGAATAATGTAGACTGAAGAGTATAAAATTAAATAGAGAAATGGAACATCACATCTATTTTCTCGCAATATACTTGAACGATCTACTTTGGAAATGTTTGCCAATAATTATTGACGTAGAATGCAAAACTAAATAACAAATTTGTATAGTATTTTCTTCTACCCAGTCATGAATCACAAAAATTTAGAGAGAGAGTTCCAGCACGATGTAACTTAAAACTAACAACTAAAAGAACGGTGGGAGTCGCTATCGAATGATCTTATAATCCTCCATGTTTGTCTAGTCGCAAATGAAACCTCATGAGCTAATAGTGCCTACTGATGACATTCCGGCATTCACGGTGGCTTTTTTAAGCAAATACATAAGTTATTCTTTGCGTTTAGTGGTGTTACAACTTAAGCGACGATGTCCCAAATTCCAAATATGTTAGAATAACAATAGTCGCCTTTACATCATTAGCGGAGCATCGAAATATTAGCATCCCACTTGCTGCTAGTTTCGCAACACGTAAAATAATCCAGTGTTCTGCGGTCAACTACCTTCAGGTGACCTTCATTCCTGGATGTTTACCTTCCTCCTGACTAGCTGCTATATCACAGACATCACAGTTTAACTGCATGTAGGATTTGGTATACCACAATGTAATTTCAGACACCTTGACAAAAACTGTTTTAAGGACGGAGTGACGCTACTCTTCTATAGTCCACATCATTTCGGCACTACTTGCTTAACCACCTTAGGCGCTAATGCGACGTTGCAGTTCAGTATTTTGGGAGGTCAGAAGATGAAGGAGGTATGTGCAACTTCGATGGCTTATTTTTGTACCATTCAGACATAAGACCGTAACACGGGTGCTCTTGTCGCTCGACAGCTCCTGGTCCGAACTTGATTCATGCCGTTCTATTGAAGAGGCGGGCAGCGGAGCTTGCTCCAGTTTTTTCGCGCTTCTTACAGTTATCTTCCGAATCCGGCAACTTCCAAAAAAACTGTAAATTTGCTCATGTCCAACCCATCCCAAAAAAGGATCTAAGAATGACCCTACAACTACAAGCCTATAGCTCTGCTATCTGTTATAAGTAAGGTGATGGAGAGGGCCATAAATCGCGAGCTTCTGGACTACCTCGAACGTCACACGGCAGTATGGTGAGGCTCATGTCGTTGCTCTTGATATCATGAAGCCGTTCGATCAGCTGCGGCACGCTGTCCTCTTATGCAAACTATGTCCCTCGTCGTAATTCACCGGTTCTTCTGTTCATCCTACGTCAATGCGGGTGTTCCTCAGGGATCGGACTTGACTCTCACACTGTTCCTCTTATATATCAACGATCTCCTTTCCTGTACGATCAGCACTTTACATGTCGAACTTCGTACAACCAGAACTGACCGATACGGTATAAGAAAGAGATAGCTGAAGGTTGCTTTTAAATCGGATCTTAGACTATTTTGGTTGTGTGTTCCCTACATTATTATTCAAAAAATTGAGGTATGCTGAATGCATCGACAATTCATAAATTACATTGATCAACAGCCAAAAAATATCCTAAATTAAATCAACAAATATTAAGTACTATTTTTAATGTGCTAAAACCGGAATGAAACTTATTTTTTCAATATTAGTTCAAGTTTTAGAGATACGGTAATTATATCTGTTCCTGCTGTGACAGTGTTAATATACTGTAATTCACAAGAATGCACGTGCTACATTTTTATATTCGGCAAGGAAAGATGATGTAATCGGCATGATTGTGTTACGTTATACATACGTGTACATTATATTGTTTTATATTAGCCATTTTTTCCTCAGTTGGCTGACAACGTTCATGCAAGATGCCTCGAAAGTGTGTAAACAATCCAGATCAGTTTTGTTACGTGTGTGGTGATGTGACTTTTGCGTCTCAGAGACGGTCTATTACTCCACTAATAACAAAGGCATATCAGCTTTATTTCGGTTGTAAGCTAGGTGATCAAGACAAACAGTGGGCACCCCACATCTGCTGTAATACATATGCTTCAAGTCTGAGGAGCTGGTTAAATGGCAAAAAACGGTCTATGCGCTTGGCTGTCGCAATGGTTTGGAGAGAGCCTACAAATCATATTAATGATTGTTGCTTTTGCATGGTACCTTGTGTTGGACAAGCCACAGGTATGTCCAAGAAAAAAAAATCTGTTATTAACTACCCAAACATACCATCTGTGATGAGACCTGTGCCTCACAGTGACGAAAATCCTATTCCAAAACCCCCAGAATCCTACACTTGCGAATCAGAAAACGAATAAGATCATGGCGATCGAGTGATTCGTCAGGAAGAAGATATGCCATCAACGTCAAAGGATCCTGATTTTATACCGAGCACGTCATGCCACCAACCGCACAAAATAACACAGTCAGAATTAAATGATATTGTAAGAGATTTAGAACTTCCAAAATGTAACGCAGAGTTACTTGGATCAAGACTGCAGCAGTGGAACTTGTTAGAAGACGATGTTTCGGTAAGTGTTTTTCGTAAACGCCACAAAGACTTAGAACCATTTTTCAATATGGAGAATAACTTGGTTTTCTGCAGTAACATTAACGGCTTACTGGCGGCTTTAAATATAAACTATAACCCAGAAGAATGGAGATTGTTTATAGACAGTTCAACATTTAGTTTAAAGGCAGTGTTATTGCATATTGGAAATATTTTACCATCTCTTCCTGTAGGGTATGCAGTTCACATGAAAGAATCATGACAATATGAAGTACCTATTCACATGCATAAAATACGATGAGCACCAATGGCATATTTGTGGCGATTTGAAAGTTGTTGCACTTTTACTTGGGCTGCAGCTAGGCTACACAAAGTTTTGCTGTTTTTTGTGTGAATGGGACAGTCGGGCAAAGGCACTTCATTACACCAGACAAAACTGGCCTGTTCGTCAATTCCTAGAGCCAAGTCAAAAAAATGTACAGCATATGCCATTAGAAGATTCGAAAAAAAATTTATTACCACCACTGCATATCAAGTTGGGCCTAATGAAAAACTTTGTCAAGGCATTAGTTAGAGATGGGTCAGCTTTTCAATACCTGCGTCAGAAATTTCCAAGACTAAGTGAGGCAAAGGTTAAAGAAGGTATTTTTGTTGGGCCACAGATTCGAAATATTTTGAAAGATACACAGTTTGAAAACACTTTAACAGGTATTGAAAAAACTGCTTGGAATGATTTCCGTCTGGTGGTCACTAATTTCTTGGGAAATAGAAAAGCTGACAACTATAAAACCCTTGTCAAAAATATGCTGTCATCGTATCAAAAGATGGGCTGTAATATGTCTCTTAAGATACATTTCCTACACTCACACCTGGACTTTTTTCCTGACAATTGCGGAGCCGTAAGTGATGAGCACGGCGAACGTTTTCATCAGGATATTTCAACAATGGAAAAAAGGTACCAGGGAAATTGGAATCCTTCCATGCTTGCAGACTACTGTTGGACTCTTGGTAGAGATGCTCCAGAAACGATCCATAAAAGAACAGCGAAAAGACAGCGCATATAGTGATTCTTATAAGTATATGAATCTTGTTACTTTTTTTAATATATCCTTAAAAATAAAAAGTTTTTTTTCTAAACCGCAATTAATTTTTTTATTTCATTGTCATTTTTGGATTCAGCGCTCCAAAATTAAACACAGAAGTGCACTTTTCCCACAAGATACAATTAAAAAACTAAAATTTGTTGTCCAGTGATCAGTATTATCCCTTGTTATTGCTATGTTTCGCAATCTACCTATACGACATCGTTTTGAAATTTATTTACCATCAATCCCTTAATTCAGAAAAATATTGTTTACAAAGCGAGCTTTTAAATAACGTACTTACCACAAACCCTTTGTTTTTCTTTCTCTAGACCATATCCTCCAGCACACAGTATGGTAAATTTTGATAGTTTATCTGCCGATCTTGGAATTAGATGTGCTTTCGCGTTGAGTTGCAAAGAAACTAAAAAATCAAATTCATGGTTAGTCTAGTTAATTTTTGGAATTATGTTTCATTCAACAAGAAAGAACGACCCATTTTTTGACACTTTGTAAGATTAGAACAAACAAATACTCTATAACGCACCTTATTCAGAGTTTGATCCTAAAGTTGCACGCCCACTGAGGATAAGCGATACGAAGAGAATCGAATTGAAATCTAATAGGATTCCCTCAAAAAATTCTAAAGGCTGATTTTGCTATGGATTGACAGGAATCAAAATTTGTGCCTTTGGTTAATTGCTCTCATTTTCGTATTCAAATTGAGAAGTCATTTATTACCACCACATTTAGAAAACTTTACAAAACTAAATAGCCATTATCATAACTACGAAACAAGAAACAGTATACATTTTCATCTGCAAAATTTTATCTAGCAAATCTGTTTTTCCAAATGAAGTATTTGAATTTAATAAATTCAATGATGCTATTACACAGTGATCGAATTTAAAAATGATTAAGGTGAAATTAATAAATCACGTTATGAATACTCAAAATGCATAGTGATGTAATTCTAATAGACAAGAACGTAAAATTACATAAAATTGTTTCAAAAAATGGGTAAATGAATGATTATACAAAACTGACGTTGTAGCATTGATGCTAAACAAACACACTACAAAAAATTGGCAGCAAATTTTCACTGACCTAAATAATGACCTCAGAGATCATTTGGAGGCCAAGTTTGCAAATTCAAGCAGCAACCGCCATTTTCATTTCGAGCTCAAGATTCTACATAAAACGTTATTTTCATACTCGAGGTCTACTGTAAAGTCTGAAAAACCCTAAAACTTTGCAACTATGCATTTTTTGGGAAAAAAGGTTCAAAGAAAAGTTTCAGGATATCAAATTAGACATTTGGAGGTCAACTGTAAACGTAAAATCAAATAGCAATAACCGTCTTTGAGACCAGACCTTTCTCGAGCTCGCGATTTTGCATCGTATTCTAGTTTCATACATGAGGTCAAGCGGCCATTAGTCATTTGTAAGTCACTGAAGTACACGGACGACCCGAAGACTCGATAATCATGCATTTTTGAGATAAAGTTCAGAGATCGAAAAGAAATGTTGATATGACATGCACTGCATCATGACGATAGAGGATGAAATGCGTGGTTGCTACGTTTGTGGGGTGTTCGTGACATTACAGAAGGTCATGCTGCTCAAACCGCACATGACCGCTTGACCTCAAGTATGAAAAAGAATTCTGATGTAGGATCTCGAGCTCGATACGAATCTGCTGTCAGAAATAGTCGCTATTTGAATTTGGGTGTTCCACAGGGCAGTATCCTGGGACCACTTCTTTTTATTTTATACATAAATGATTTACCTGCCATAGTCAAAAAATGCAAAATTCAGATTTTCGCCGATGACACTATGATTTATATAAGTACTAAAAATATTCAGACTAGTTTCTCTTATATAAATGAAGACTTGAAACTTGTCTCAAAATGGTTAGCATCTAACACACTAAAATTAAATACAAGTAAAACCAAAGCCTTGTTAATCGGAAAAGAACAATGTACAAATGTTCAACTGAACATTGATGGTGAAGATATTGAATTCGTAGAAAATTTTAAATACCTGGGCGTTTTTGTTGACTCTCGATTAATTTTTGATATTCGTTATGAAAAAGTTATAAACAAGATTATTAGTAGTAAAGTGGGATATTTATCGAGAGTTTCTGGATGTCTGAGTTCATATAGCAGAAAAATTATCTATAATACCATCATTCTTCCAAATTTCTTGTACTGTTCGACTATTGTATATTTAGCAAATAATTCCATTTTTGAAAGACTGCAAATTTTACAAAATAAGTGCATGAGAATAATACTAAATAAAGATAAATATACTCCAATTAAGCAAATGCTTAGCAAATTAAAATGGCTCAATGTAAAAAATTTTATCAAATATCTTGTAAAGTAAAAAATAATATATTTGCATCAAGTCTAACTAATTTAACATCGTCAAATGTCAACCATTATTTACATAATACGAGGAATAAAGATGACTTCCATTTAATGACCAAAAAGTATAACATCAAGGGTTGATTGAATATAATAAATTATACTCAGAGATAAAAGACCAGAAAACTTTGACAAAATTTAAAGTAAAATTGAGAAATCACTTGTTAAATCTACAATTATAGGTTGCCCAGCATTTACATCATACAACATATGGCTTGAATTTACTAGTTGATGCCACGTGTGAAAATGACCTGTTATGTAGACTCTCGAGCTCGAATGTTGTCAAAAATGGCGGTTGCTATTCGAACTTGCAAAGCTGACCGCCAAATGAGCTCATTGTCTAGGTCATATTTGAGGTCATCCGCAAATTATTTTTTGACACCCTGAAACTTTAATTAAATCCTTTTTGCCGAAACATGCGTGATTGTCAAGTATTTAGGGTATTTAACAAGCCTTATATACAAGGGGTACGATCAGAATAGTGAAAAAAAAAATCGATGGTAACAGATACTGATAGGCGCCAGAAAATGTGTGTAAATTATGTATTAAAAATTGGTTTCAATAATATGACGATTTGAGTATGACCTTAAGGAGTGCGAGGGTCACAAACTTGCAAAAAATGCTTTTCTGATTAAAAAGAAATAGTACCATTGCATTTGAGGTTATCGAAAAAATTTCATTTCGAATTTTGAGGTTGGAGTTACGCCTTCTAGCGGCCACTTTATGGAGCTGAAAATAATTTCCAGCAATTTTTTCAAAGGGCAATGTAACCATATTTGAGTTACATTACACTGATGACAAACAATTAACCAGAAATACGTGTCTATATTATTTTTACCTATGTAAGATTACAGTTGCTGGAAAAGACAGCACAGCCGGTTCTACTGAATTACACCTCGTAATCAATAAATGCCAGATGTACTATAATAATTTCCTAATAAAAAATTCCCCATGTGTACTTCGTATATTTTACTGTTAAAAGTCAATGAAACTATCTAGACAGGTGACAACAGCTCTGATTACGGTCCTGACTTTTACCAGACTCAGGGTCGTATCGTCAGTCGATTCTACTTGATTTTCATAGTTTTCTACTCTTTCGGGTTAGCGCTCTGTTTTGAGGTTATGTTACAAATATCTATGTATTTGCATCAAATTGTACATGCTTTTGATGTATATACAGGGTGACTTTGAAGTTGAGTCATTAATTTTCAGATAATGATTGTAGAAGGAAGATAAACCAAAATATGTGTGTAAAAATAAAAAAAAAATAAAAAAAAAATTTTACCTTGTTTTATAAAGTATCCTCCCGACAAGTATTTCAGTGTGGACCTGTATTTGATCATGAGGTCCCCTGTGAGGTCTGAAGTCGCCTGATTCACGAGCCCGTTGTACTACTATTAACAAAGGCACGAGGGGTTGGTTGCACTCGATTGGGAAACCGATCCGCATAAACATGTGCCATTTTTTATTTCGTTTGAGCCACGCAACAGATACTATTCACACGCGACTGACAGTGATTGTATGTATAACTGAACTGAATAAAGTAAACATCGTTCCAAATTCTTTCGCTTTTTTGTTTCCGATGCGATGAACCGATAAGGTGGATTATATCCGTTGTTGCCAAACACCAGCACATGATGTTATTGAGACAGGGCGGTACTCAAACTTCCAAAGGGCTATAACTTTGTTACTTTAATTTTACCAGAAAAATGGTAAAGGAAAAAAACATTTCTTTTGATCAGATCTACTCACTGTTAAAATAAATGACTCAACTTCGAAGTCACCCTGTATATATATAATTACAATGTGTTTGGTCACGACATACCGATATTTAAGGAGGGGATTTTTCAGCTACTTTTATCGACAAATCCATCCCCCTACTATGTCATATCTCACCCCCCTTGAAATGGTAGCCATTTTTATTTTAACGTTACGATTACGCTAGTGCATGTATGAAAATTGTAATAACTGAGAACATAAGAGTCACAGAATGATAAATTTGGTGTCATTTGAACAGACAAAAGCAGAAAAAAAAATATGCAAGAGATTTGATTATTTTGTGCATTTCCGCACACATTTCAAAAACTAGTTTTTGAAGTACCTTTTGTGCTAATTTTACAGCTAAGTTATCGATAAAATGACACCAAATTTTTTACCATATCTTAGTTATTTTAAGTACAAATGTTGCTTAAACACGACCCTTGCGCAAGCCGTCACGATCCAGGTAGCGAACCACACCCCGCATTCCTGGGATAGACCGAAAGGTCTCGTTATCGAGATTTGTTGTCAATGTCATAGTGAGTGTTTTGCAGTCCCTCGCCACGCGTTATCATCGCACGTTCATTTTGTTACCATTGATGACTAGTTTCAATATCAATTTTCTGAAAGTATTTGAGTTTATTTTACATCATTATAAACGGAATTGAAAGACCTTTAAAATAAGGTATCACTTGACCCCCCTTTCCATTTAAGATTTTGGGGGTGGTGTCACCCCCGCTTAGGGGGCTGCACGTGCTAACTAGATTTTTTGCCAAACTTGTGTCCCCCTCGAAAACAAAATCCACGGGTCTGAGCGTTTTTCAAAAAAAAAAAACTCAGCGCCACCCTGTATATAAACAGGCCGACAATAAGAAAGCGCTGATGCTGACACGGAACAGTATAAATTTAGAAATATCCCAACCTTTCTGAACGAGAGGAAGTAATATGAGAATCGACGACTGAGGATACGGCCCTTACATCTGATTCATTATTGCCAACTTTGCAGACGAATACAAATATGTCACTAGCTGATCAGCTGTTCACCTCTGTAGACGTCAAAACGTGATGGATACTCGTGAAAAAGGGTGTATATTTGTTTGGAAAGGAATTCTAAGGTTACCTGGCAAATTTTTGATGATTTGGAAGTTCTTATACACCAACTTGATAGCGCTTGCGTACAGTTTCAGTTTGCAATTTATGTCGCATTTTGAAGCAATGGCGCCTAGTAGCAGTCCGCTGAAGTTGTTGATGGTCGCGATGAACGTCACTTCTAATAAATTGTTTTCTTCCTAAAAATATATATAATTTGGTCAACAATTGAGTCTAGGATCTACTCAAAAAATTCTAGATTCCATGATAAGTTAACCCTGTAAATTTATTCTGCCTACAAACTCTATGCTTCCTACGCCTGCGCTGGAGGTTTTAAACGAAAGGAATGAGACAAATCGTTTCAAAAGGCGGAATCGGTAGGTTCACTAAGGTTAGATGATTCTTCGACCTTTGCATATCCAACTATACATAGAAAGCAAATCAGATTCTTGTTTCCATGGCAGATGCAGGGAAAATATGTACGAATTACAAAAGTTTCGTAATATGACTTAACAAACGGATGCAGGAGGCTGCATGTTACTACATGTTAAGAATGTCCATGATTGCATAGTAGCCGCCTGTTGACTTAGTTGTTCATTCGTATTGACAGTTTAAAGGGCGGACTTTAGCATCGTCGTCACGCAGTGAGATAAGCGCATTTTTACGGTATAACTTTACGCGTGGTTTAAGCACAGAACAGTTCTTACAAGAAATGACGCTCGCATTAAAGAATGATTGTCCTCATCGTACGACTATATTCAGGTGGTACAGAGAATTCCAAAGGGACTCACAGAAGGCAGTGATAGCTGAGTGGTACATGGAACAGTGCCTGCCTGAAGTCATAGAGTTTATGAAAAACCTGCGGCCAAAGTCAAAAATGGACATGGCACCTCCACCATGGCAACGCTCCAGCTCACCGCGAAAAAGCATGCACCAGGTATATGACCACTACTGGGCTGAAACTTATTGAGCACCATCCTTACAGGTGCTTGGAACAACGAGTGTGTCCCGGTCAAACTTGGCACAGCTGGATCAAATGATGCCCTGTCCAAAGGATTTATTAAAGCGAACGAGCTAAAGGACAAACTAGAAGCTAAAGGGTGATTTTTTAAGAGGTATAGGATTTGATTTAAAAAAAAAAACAAAAAATTTGAAAAAACGTTTAAATCTTTATTTGAGTGTTTAGAACGGTCGATATAATTTAATGTTTAAAGATTATTTCATGTAAATGTTGGCCGCGGCTCCGCTTTAGATGGCCCATGCGCAAGGTCCAATTTTGGCACACTCTCTCCAACATATCGGCCGGTATCTCACGAATAAATGCTTCAATATTGGCTTCCAGTGCGTCAATCGTTGCTGGTTTATCCCTGTAGAGGTTATCCTTAACATGGCCCCACAAGAAATAGTCCAACGGCGTTAAATCACACGATCTAGGCGGCCAGTTGACGGGCCCCAAACGTGAGATAAACTGTTCACCGAACTCGCCTCTCAATAGGGCCATTGTTTCGTGTGCGGTGTGGTATGTGGCACCGTCTTGTTGAAACCACATGTCAGCCAAGCCCAGCTCTTCCATTTTGGGCCAAAAAACAGTTTGTTATCATCGCACGGTAGCGCTCGCCATTCACAGTTACGTTCCGGCCATTGTCGTCTTTGAAGAAGTACGGCCCGATGATGCTACCGGCCCATAATCCACACCAAACAGTGATTTTTTCGGGATGCATTGGTAGCTCTTGCAATGCTTCTGGCTGGTCTTGACTCCAGATGCGGCAATTTTGCTTGTTAACGTACCCATTCAACCAGAAATGAGCTTCGTCGCTGAACACAATTTTTCGATAAAAATGTGGATCTTCCTCCAACTTTGCCAGCGCCCATTCACCAAATTGGAAACATTGTGGGAGGTCGTGTGGCTTCAATTCTTGCACCAGCTATATCTTATAAGGTTTTACACCCAAATCCTGTCGCAAAATTTTCCACGTAGTGGAGCAACAGAGGCCCAATTCGACATTTCCCGGTCATCACTAACACTGGCGGATACAGCCGCAATATTTTCTTCAGTCCTCACTCTACGTCTGCGTGTTGGTGGTTTAATGTCCAATAATGTAAACTGGGTTCAAAATTTAGTCACAAGCTTCCGAATAGCTCCCTCAATAGGCCGACCAAATTGCCCATAAATTGGAAGCAGTGCTCGATGCACTCTCTTAACCGAGCATGAATTTTGATAGTAAAATTCAATAATTTGCAAGCATTGTTCGTTCGTAAGTCGATTCATGGTTAAATTATGGATCAAACTGAACAAGTTTGACAATGACACAAGACACGATTCACGCGTCATCTGTCAAAAACAGTGTTGCCAAAAAGATACTAGCAAAAAAATCACCCATATAAAGAACACAAACATCGTACTAACCACTATACCACAGCGGAGATCAAACCGCCCCATACTAAATAATATTATTGCCGACATAAACAGACAGATTAAATCCACATGCCACGGGTCAAGTGCACATTTATTGAGCTTATTTGACTGTCTTCGAAGCTATCATTTCAAGAACAACTCCAACCATTTGAACAACGAGGGTAAACATAGACTCTGCCACGAAATCTCAGATCTGATATTACACAACAGCTTTGGAATAAGACCGTCACCATTATTCAATTCAGATAGCAACGAAATAATGCCACCACCACAAACTCTGAACGAACATGAAAAACGCCCTGAAAGCACGTCATCGTCAGCCCCACAAGTGCCACAGTCAAGCAAGGGCCATCAACAAGACACCACACTCAGAGGACGCTTATTTCACCGGAAGCTAATACACAGAACACTAGCAGTCCAATGACCACACCTTGCCCAATGTAGACTATATATCTAACTCCACTAAATTTGTCGCCTCTCACAGTAAACAGAAGTCATCGAAACAACAAAATGTTCAAAGAAATGCCTCGAAGAAATAATTCATCTTCATGTTTGCAGTCTCTTAAATAAATTCAGTGAAATGGAGCTACTTGTTGACGATTCGTCGTCAGACGTACTATGGCTTACCGAAACGTAGTTACCATTGGGCGCTATAGAATCCGCGAATATAGACGGCTATACCCTTATCTCGTGGTTCTGTCGAGTGAGACGCATACAAGGAGGATGTGCAATTTATGTCAAAAACAGTTTAACAGCCAAATGCATACCGTTCGTGAGCACGGCGTCGGAAGAGGGAGAAATCGAGGCATGTGGACTTACAATGAATCTCGGAAGATCTAATGAGAAGCTTGGCATAATATGTGTGTATCGCCCACCATCTGGTAACGTAACGATATTTCTGGAGAACTTAGGGAATATCTTGGACAGGTTATTTTTGGAAAGTAGCAGAAACATTATTTGTGGGGATCTTAACATAGATAGCCTGAAACCCAGCATAAATTCATATCTACTTCAAGATCTGATATCATCCTACAACATGATAAATCACTGTAATAGTGCTACTCGCACTGCAGTGAACAAAAATAACACAATGACACGTACATCAATAGATTATATCGTAACGAACTTCAGACCCAGGAAATTGACATGTACAATCTTTGAACCCCACATTTCAGCAGACCACACTGCACAACTTCTTTCGCTCTCTCATGCATCCCACGACAAACTCGAACATCAAGACAACCACTTGCTCATGACAAGGCCTATAAATGACAATTTAAATCACCTCAAAGTTAGCTTAGCTCAGGAAAGCTGGAATATTGGCGAGGACGATATTGATGCAGAACTTGAACGGTATCTCAACAATTTTTGTGGCATTTTGATTTGAAATGTCCCCAGAGGCCTAACACATGACACAAAAAGTAGAAATCTGAACCATGGGCGACGCCAAAAATCCAACAGTCCAGCCAAGATCTAAGAAAGCTACACAATTTGCTGAAAAGGCATGAAGACAATGTAAGTATGAGACACAAGAAACGCAAGAAATTAATTTAATCAACAAAAAAAGAGTATTGCAGTAGTCTAATAACATCCAGCAACAACAAAACACTAAAAAAATATGGGAAATAGTCAACGAAGAAACCGGAAGAGTAAAGACACATCATCAAATAGTGCTGAAAAATGAAAACAAAGAATTTACTGACACCCTCGTACCCGACAAGTTTGGCAAGTATTTTTCCACAATGGCAGAGAGCAAGTTAGCAGAACACTTTAAATGTGACAGCCAACAAGATGTCCATCACAAAATCGGGTAGCATCATCAATGTTCTACGAGGATGTCACCACTGAAGAAATCGTGGAAGTAATCAGCAGCCTTCCGAATAAAAGAAGCAGTGGAAATGATGGAATTTCAACGCGTGTGATAAAGTTTGTGAAACGTGAAATATCGTCTTCCCTATCAGTGCTTATTAATAGATCGGTGAAGCAAGGTAAATTCCCGAAATGCTTGAAACTAGCTATTGTTACACCCGTGTACAAAAAGGGTGACCGTACAGACCTTGAAAACCCTTAGACCAATATCACTTTTATCGATGATCTCAAAGTCATTGAAAAATGTCTATAGAAACGTATATTATGTTTTCTCAATCGCTATAATGTCTTATCAGATACCCAGCATGGGTTTAGACCAGAGTTCCCTAAACTTTTTTGTGTCGTAGTCCCCTTGCCATGTTTTTCTGTGTTGGGTAGACCCCTACTTACCAAATACTGATTTCCTGTAAATTTCTAACTGTAGTGAAGTTTAGTGTTAAAAACTTAAAGTAAAAACACATGTTAATTTATACATTTATTAATTGAATTTAAATTAAAACTACTCAAAATAAAATTTTGTATCTGTTATGTAAAATATACGTAACATTAAATAAACAGGTGTCTGACCAATAAGTGCCCGTATTGAAAAAAAATAACAGGGATAAAATAAAAAAAAGTGAAAAATAATAAAAAAAAGTGTTTTACTTAAAATAGTACAATAAGCGAGTTCGTTTATTAATTATAACATAAATGTATGTTCTACAATAATTTCACTGTTAGTTTGATTAAATTCCGTTTCTTATACGTTTAAGTTATCTAAAAATTGGCAAAAAATTAACGAATTATAGTGTGTACCTATCCTTGAATTTTCAGAATAATTAAAAAAAAATATTTTCTATAAAGGGGGGTTCTTTAAAAATATCAATGCGGGCACTTATTCCCAATGCGGGCTATTATTGGTCAGACACCAATAATCATAAAATAAACTATAAATAAAATAACAAGCAATAAGTCAATATTTTAGTGAGAAGGATGAACCTGATGCTTTAATAATAAATTATCAACATTTGGCATCAATTTTGTAAGGGTTAATCCTAAATCTCCTCGGCTAATGATGTCCAGTCTGTTTCTTTTTTTCGTTAGGAGATTGGTAACAGTGCTAAATCCCCTTTCCACTAGGTATGACGATGGAAAGGAAATTAAAAAGTTCCTCGCTATATTCCATAATACGGGATAAGTAACGGGTATGTTGTTTTCGAGCCAGAATTGCTGATATCCGTTTTTAAACTGAACCTTAAGTTCTTCGTCTGTACTTAGTTCAGTCAGTTCCTCTTGTATTATGACATTCGTTTCTTCTATGTCACCATATGGATTAATTATCCACGGTGGTATTACCATAGTCAAAATATCCTCAAACCTAGATTCAAAATCTGAATAGAGGGCATTTAAATGTTGAACGTAAGTTGAAACGTCGTCTTCCTGGCAGCTTGTCTGTGACAAATTGAGAAAATTCGCCCCGTCCAATATTTTGCTTCATTAGTTTAACTCTGACAAGAAACGCTGATAAGATGGACTTTGTTTTAATCAAATTTAAACTGTCGCCTTGTAATTGCAAATTAACCATATTAAATTTTGTAAACAAATCTGTTAAATAGGCGATGTCTGTTTTCCTCTTCATTAAATTTTCTTTTAAAATTTTATCTTTAGTATCCAGATATTTTAGAAAAAATAGTCTCAAATAGTGCAAAAAATCTTGTCAAACATAAGCCTTTCGACAGCCAGCTTACTTCAGTGTGAAGGAGTAATTGATGAAAGTGTTCGTTATTTTCTTCACACAACTGCGCAAATAACCGCGTTTTCAACGCGTTGCTTCGGATTCGGTTTACTGCATCAATGACTAAATGAAGTGATTCATGCAATCTAACACTCAAATTTTTAGCAACTAAATGTTGTCGATGGATGACGCAATGTATTGCTAACACGCCTGACACATTTTGTTTTAAATAGCTTATAAATCCACGATAACGTCCAACCATGGCATTTGAATTGCTTTTTCAATGAAGTAATCCTTCAAAACATGAAATATTGATTCACCTTTAGTGTCGGTTATCAAAGTTCTTGCGAAGAGCAGTTCTTCATAGATTTCTTGATTTATAATAAAACGAACATATGCCAATAATAATGCTGCATTATCAGGTAAAGTTGACTCGTCCAGTTGTATAGAGAAGTGCAACTCATTTCATCAATACGTCTTTCAACAGTATTGTTGCTTAAGGAAATTCTTTTAATGATATCAGATGCAGGTTTGTGTAAAACAGTTTTTAAAACCTCTCAACGGCTGGCAAAATTAACTTCTCTCCGATAGTATGCGGTTTTCCGGATTTTGCTATAAGTAACGATATATTGTAAGACGCCCGCAAACCATCATCATTTCTTTGTGACGTCGAAGCGAACATTCTGTCCAGTGTAGGTCTCTTCAGAAATTTATCTTTGAGTGTTTGAAAGTATTTCAAATCTTTCTCTGTTTTATCAGGGTGGCATCTTCTCAGATGATGTTGCAGTTTAGATGGTTTCATAGCGTCATTGCCCAAAACTTTGTTGCATAAAAGGCACATAGGCGATTGTTTGTCCGGCAATGATGGAATGAAGCCAAATTTCAAATAATCAACACTGTACTGTCTACATTTCTTTTTAGATTCGGACATGGCATCAGTCATCTGTGGGCAAAATTAAATTATTTAAATAAGACAGAAAATCCAGCAGCTGTATATTAAAAACATTCCATAATTCGAACATCTTCTTGCAACAATTAGCTCGAATTACGGAGATTGCACTAATTATATTACCGATTGCTAAAACTTTCAAAAAGAAACTATTGAGGAGTACTCGTGTAATTTTGCATGATTGAATATTTAACTACTAATAACTAAAGTCATGATTGGCGTAATTTATCTATTTTTGCTAACTACGAGTATAAAACTAAAATTTAATAAAAAATAATGTACTTACTTTTCTCCAGCACTCTCAAACAAAATAACACTGACTCACTATAATTTGTGTGATATACTATCTGTTTATATTTTTTAAAATATTTTCTTAGCACTTTCCTTTTCAAGATTCAGGAATCGAATAAACGTATTTGTCCCACATTCGTATTTATAGAGTGACGAATTGAATAAGTCAGTGCAAGGTAGCGAAGCTTTGAGACTGCGACTCTCAGGTTTTTACAAGTTCAAAATGTATTGCGACCACAAAGCGAATACCAACATGCTACAACTTACACAATTTTATAATCATATATAATAAATTTTTTACTTCATAGGTACTTTTATAAATAATGTATATGTTTTGATATTATAAGATAGTATGATGTAAGTAAATAGGTACTATCAGTGTAGGTGTTGAGATCCACTATCGTGGACCCCCATAATCATTTCATGGACCCCCCAATTTTTTTTCGCTGACGTAGACCCCTTGCAGGTTGTCATAGACCCCTAGGGGTCGATATAGACCACTTTGGGAATCAATATGCTAGACGAACATATATTGTGATAAAAAAAGTCGCTGTATACCTGTATGTATATATTTTTACCGTTACAGATTGAACACATTACGATTCTTGCGCTGTACCTATAATGTGATTTCACCTGTTAAAATGTTTTGTAATTGTAATGTCCTTATTTATTTTATAATTATAAGTATTTTTCCGGCATATTTGCCCAAACGCATATATGACCCTCAAATTGATATTGACAAGTCTTATATCATGTAACATGATCTAATAGGACAATAAACGATCTATCTATCTATCTATCTATCTAAGGACTGGTTTTGGCGGATGGAGAAGTGTATCGAATGTGGTGGAAATTACTTTGAACGAAGTCATTAACTAGAGCTTATTGCAAAACTTTTATAGTAGCCTTTTATTACCGCACTCACCATTTCTGTACATCTGGGTCGCTGAACGTCGGCTTCGCACACCTTGCCACTGTCCCCGCACAATTTACTGCTCACAATTTTCGGCATATACGAATACATCGTGTCCTCTAATTCCAGAGTACAACTTTCTGAAGTGCTGTACGATACCTCCATTGTAATTTTGTAAATCGGCAAAGTTATCAGCTGCAGCTCGTGCACGAACTCTTCAGTTTTGTCGTTTTTCGTTTTACTGCAGGTGTAGTTGCCGTAGTCTTTCGCCTCTACGTTCTGAAGCTGTAGTGAACTCTCGGTGTTTGCCAGAACTTCTCCTGAATCAAAAGGATAGATTAAATTCGCTGATAATGCATCGACAATCGCAAAATGTGCTAGAAATACAGAGTGTTTCTGATTCTTTGAGTAATGTTGAGACAAAAAGTTCTTATAAACATACGTCCGAAAATTCCTCGTTCTCAAGATACAGGATGTTCAAATTTGAAAAAAATTTTTTTCGTAAATACCTTAAATATACTAAGTGACATATAAATCCGAACACCTAGTTTAAATGGTTTTATTTTAATAAAAGTTTGTATAAGTACTTAATGAAGCATAAAAAGTAAATGATAAAAATTTCAAAATGATTGCACTGCTTTAAAGCCCTTTGACCTTTAATAATGTGAGGATGCACCCTGATGTGCTACGCATTCTCCAACGCGCCTAGGCATGCTTCTGATCAGGTGGTCAATGTCCTCCTGTGGTATCTCATTCCAGGCAACCTCCAACTCCTCTCGAAGTGCTTCTAGAGTCTGAGGACGACGTTGCAAATTGAGCAATCTCCTACCCATCATATCCCACACGTGCTCAATTGGGGATAAGTCGGGAGATCTTGGTGGCCATGGTAACAATGTGACATCATTATGTTGAAAGAAGTCTATTGTGACTCTTGCAACATGTGGTCGGGCATTATCTTGTTGGAAAGTTGGATCTGCCAGGGTGTCAAGATAGGGTAAAAGATGGGGTTCTAGAACTTCGTGGATATAACGCTGCACGTTCATGTTACCTCTGATGAAGATTAAAGGTGACCTCGAACCATAAGCTATAGCACCCCAAACCATAACTCCAACAGTGTGATGAACATGTCTTTTAACAAAAAACTGTGGATTCTTCCTTTCACCACGTCGCCTTCTAACCCTGGCACGACCATCGTGCATGCCTAAACAAAATCGAGACTCGTCACTAAAGACAATACTGTTCCATTCCTGATCCCAGAGTGACCGTTGTCTGCACCACTCAAGGCGATTACGTCGGTGTTCTCGAGTTAAATGGAGGACCCAGTGTGGCCGGTATGAAAACAAGCCAAAACTTCTCATTCGTCGGTAAACACTTCGCATGCCAATAGGTCTTCCGTGTTCTGCAAACCAATCATTTGCAATGGACCTGGTAGTGGAGAAACGGTCCCTTAAGGCCAATAATCTTAGGCGGCGATCTACACGGTCTGTTGTTCTACGGCGGCGTCCAGTGCCCCTTGCTCTTTGCGTACGGCCTTCTCGAAGCCATGCCTGACAACACCTAACCACAGTGTCTACACTTCTTTGCACTCTAACTGCAATTGCCCGAAAAGAAAGTCCAGCTTCCCGAAGTCCCACTATACGGCCCCTATCAAACTCGCTAAGTTGACGAAATCGTACAGGTCTCCGTACTCTAGGCATCGTAACCGATCGTAAAGGATGTCAAGAACCAAGAATCCGCTAACGTTGATTCTTTACTGCGGCTGAAGTATTCATTTTTAGAGCGTTAGTGAATTAAAAAAAAGCAGTATAAAAACCGGAATGTCCAACTGATAAGGCTGAAAATTTTTTCACTTGTTATTTACAGTAAGATAAATACATTCACCAACTTTTATTAAAATAAAACCATTTAAACTGGGTGTTCGGATTTATATGTCACTTAGTATATCCTAATTACCTAATTTTGTTGTAATTTAGCGGTAGTATTTATAACATTAAGGAGCTCTGACTTGATCAAATTTCTCAAGTCCCGAGGCGTCTTGAACGGGACCTGAACGAATATTTGTGACAAAAAGTTTGGTTTAAGCAAATAGAAATACAGCTTTTTTGTCATTTGAATTTTTTCCGTATCTTGCTTAGTTTTCGAGAAAAAAAGGGTCCACTTAATTGCATGTCCCCTGGACCACACAAGAAATATGGAAAGTTTTTTTGAAATCACTGTTTTTTTAATAATTTCTTTTCTTATTATGTTAATCCTATTTAGTATTTGTTGTTTTTTTCACACAAGTGGAATACGTTAATCAATGCTTAGGCTACAACGTTAAAAATTAATTACAACAAAAACTATTGTACCTTTCCGTTGTACATCTTTCTTGAAAGTCCAAGCATAACTAGTACTCAGTTCTCCTGCTACATTATCAGCCATATTTTGACATGCGATATTTACACTAGAGCCGGGAAGGACAACCAAGTCCGAACCTGAAAAATAAAATTTATATTTGTTTAGTATAATAGATATAGGTTAACTGCTAGCAGATGAAATTCAGTTTCTAGGGTTCCAGAGAAGTAGTCAATCTCTCTGATTCATACAGGGAAAACCAAATTTGTCTGACGGCTTGAGTTCAACGTGTACAAGAGGGAAGCGCGAAAAGTGTGTATAAACACATGCTAGAAAGAGACAGAAGCCGGCGAAGGTCATCACCACATTGACCAGCAACGATGACGCAGAAGGTCGTGCAATCTGCCGCGTTGCCAATATGTTACGCCAGAAAATGTTCGCACAGGCTGCTAAAATAGGTTAGGTTACTGTCAAGCCCAAGAAGGAAGTCTGTTCAAACATTTAATTTAATATCTAACGTATACAGGGTGTTTCAGTTTATTGTTGCATAACTTTAAGATTCGATAGAACTTTTAAAATTAATGCATAAAGTCTATATAAACATGGGTCGAAAAATGCGTGGCTTCCGAAATACAGGGTGTTTAAATTTACTTTCTAAAATAGTTTTTTTCAAATATTTCGAACAATATTTGATGTATAACAGTGAAAATTGGTATACAAGGGTTTTTTGGTACGACAAAACGAACCATGGGCATAGTTTTACTGTATCCGCTAGAGGGCGCTCTCTACTGTACCTGTAGTGTATTAAAATGACAGCAAAATTTTTTCTTAGTGCAATTTTTTGCTTTTCGAATAAAAAAACTGATTCTTCGCACTTTTCAACATAAAAAAACTCTCTTGTGAGTTTTCGTTATAGTTAGCCGTTTTTGAGATATTTCGATTTTTAGGGTTCGATGCATTTTTAATTAATTATGGGAAAATAATATTTTTTTTACAATTTTGATTTGGGCAAGTAATTAAGATGATCGTTAAGATTGTGTTTTTAAACACAGCAATAATTCCTAACTCCAAATAAACACAAAAAACAGAATATTAATTTGTTTAATTTTCCAATATTATTTTTAACAAATTAAATTAATTATTAACAACTAAAATGCTATTGGATAGTTAGGAGAAACATACAAAATCTAAAGTAGTTGCTCGAAATGTAAACCCAATTGTTCAATACACAATTCACATCTACGAATGATCGAACGTGGTATAGCATTATTCAAATAAGGCCTTATTTCATCACATGCATTCCTCATTCTGTCTATTAGCATATCTCTTGTGATTACGGGAGTCTGGTACACTTTTTCTTTTAGATCCCCAAACCAAGAAATCTAATGGATTTAGGTCAGGGGATCGTGGAGGCCAGGCGACTGGTCCTCCACGGCCGATCCATCTTTCTGGATAATGAGCTGGAAAATCATCAAGCTGGAACCAGGCCAATCTTCTTAAATCTAACATAACATCATCCCACATATTTGCATGTTCAGCCTTTAAAAATTCCAAGAAGGTCGCAGCATTTAACCTTGCAGGCAAAAGGTAGGGTCCAAATAGTCGATTACGGTAGATACCAATCCCCACGTTCACACTAAATTCATGCTGAAAATTTCTTTACCGAACTGCATGCGGATTTTCATGCGACCAAATATGTTGATTATGAAAATTTACCACTCCACGTCTAGTGAAGCATGATTCATCGGTCCATAAAACGTTACTTAAAAACTCCCTATTATTATCAGTTCTATCAAGAATCCACTGACAAAATGTGATTCTTCGTTCTCCGTCCCCTGGCTGTAGTCCTTGCACAGGTTGCAAATGGTAAGGACGTCTATGGTCATTTCTAAGAACACGGGGAACATGGCTTGCTGAAATTCCCAAGGCACCAGAAACTCTCCTAACACTTGTGGTTGGATCTCTATCAAACTCACGCAGAATCATTCGGGTAAATCTGCGCTGACGAACATTTATGTTTTGATCCCTTTGGAGATTTCCAAAACCATTTTCAATTCTTTGGCGATGCACTCTTACAAATACTGAGCGAGTTGGATGTCGTCTGTTTGGAAATCTTCGTGCGTATTCTCTGGCTGCTTCTGCTGCGTTTCTATTTACAAAGCCATACACAAAATGAATATCCGCTAACTCTTGATTGGAGAATAAAAATGGCATTTTTATAAAACTTACAAAAAAAACAGGTAAAAGAAACTAAATTCCGTGCATTCACAAAAAAACGTTTCAGGTTTCAACAGACAACAAAACTAACTGTCAACTAATTGACGTTTAACCTTATTCTGCTTTCATTTTCAAAAATATTTGCAGGCACAGCCTACTTCTAAAAATTATCGAGATACTGACTTTTTAACGTTATTTTATCATAAATAATTAAAAATGCATCGAACCTTAAAAATCGAAGTATCTCAAAACCGGCTAACTATTACGAACATTCACACGAGAGCTTTTTTATGTTGAAAAGTGCGAAGAATCAGTTTTTTTAATCAAAAAGCAAAAAATTGCACTAAGAAAATTTTTTCGGTCATTTTAATACACTACAGGTACAGTAGAGAGCGCCCTCTAGCGGCTACAGTAAAACTATGCCCATGGTTCGTTTTGTCGTACCAAAAAACCCTTGTATACTAATTTTCACTGTTATACATCAAATATTGTTCGAAATATTTAAAAAAACTATTTTACAAAGTAAATTTAAACACCCTGTATTTTGGAAGCCACGCATTTTTCGACCCATGTTTATATAGATTTTATGCATTAATTTTAAAAGTTCTATCGAATCTTAAAGTTATGCAACAATAAACTGAAACACCCTGTAGAATGCCACAAAAAAACAATACATCGTAAAAAAGACGACATACTGTCACCTTTCTATATATCTCGACTGCTGGCACAGTAATTGTTGAATAGGGACAGGCAGATCTGACGCCTCTTGACTTCTTTCTCAATCGAAATCATATGTTATATGTATCAAACTTCTTGTTTTTAGAAGATTTATTCAAATATGCAATAAAATATAGGGTATTCTATTTGAAAAATATACGTTTGCTATGGAATGAAGTTATGGACCACCCTGTACATATTGAGATAATTTCAAAATATGCACTAGTATCAAGATTGCCATTGCGATTACAATACAAATATCAAAAACAAATTTCCTGTATGTCCCTAGGATAGCCCCAAAGAACATTTGATAGAGATTTATTCCATTTTTTGTGACCTATGGACCAGAGAGATTGACTACTTACTCTGGAACACAGTGAAGATTTCTCGTTTATACTAACCTGTAGATGGTACCTTATACTCCTCTCCAACAACATCCTGGACAGAGTCCCTTTCAACAACTTTATTCTCGCTTGCCGAGGCAGTCAAGAACATGAGGCTTCTCTTTTTTCGCTTCGTAGGCTTTGTACTGTTTGACACAACGATACCCTCCTGAACGCTGAAGAACTGTTTGCATTCAAGGTCTTTTTCAACGATTTCCGAGTTATTTTTCAGTTTGTTTTCTATGTTTGTTACATAGTTATCTATATCACATACGCACTCATTATTTGCTTCATAGTCGGATTTGTTGCATTTCGTGACGGTATTGTTTTTATGTGATCCTCCGAGATTGATACCTTTGGGTTCCTCTTTGGACATATTATGCAAGTCGATGTACTGAAGCTCCACATCTGATAAGGGTTTGTTTATTATTCCTTCAATATCTGAATCGTTGAGTTTCACATGCTTATTTCCAGAATTGTTAACAATAACAACAAGCGGTCTGCCATTTTCATCATTTCTGTTTCTGACGGTCCCCTCATTGTCTGCTTCTATAACCTCCGGAACTCCTGTTGGGGCACCTGGAGGTTCGGTCACATTTAACAGATATAAACTTTGGTTGTTTGTACTTTTAGAAGCATTTTGTGAATGTGTTTCTGTGGCTGCGTTTGCTTCTCCAGGACGAGTTGAATGTTTTATAACATAGCTTCTGCTACCTTCACCGTTACTAGCTGTAGTATCCTCATCGTGAACAGTTGATTCAGTTCGATGTATTGTAGTATCTTTTTTACCTGATGGTACAAGACTAGTACGTCCAGAAACTTCACTTGGTTGTTCCTCTTTGGTACTCAACATTTCTTTGGAGGAAGTAATTGCTTTATAGTTTTCGCTTGCAAAATTTGTTAAAAGCTCTGGTGTAGTAGATTCATAGCTACTGATGCTTGCGGTGCCTTTACTGTTGGGTTCTGAGGCAATATCTGAGCTCTTTTCGGAATGAGTCAGCCTGTTACCGTTTTTACTATTGTTCTCAAGTTCTGGAAGAGTTGTTTTTTCTACTAGCGGATGACTATTCCCTTCCTGATTTTCTTCGGTACCAGATGCTGTGAACACCTTCACTGTGCTTTGTTCACTCACAGTTTGTTCTGATTTTAAGTTGGTGGATGTTGTTCTTCCATGGTCGGCTGTTTCAGATGTTCCTTTACATGTTTCACACACCGTACTCCCCCCGTTTTTCGAGAAATGGTAGAATTCCTCCTCAACTTCAGTAGGTTGGCTCATTGTATGGCCTGGTAAATTCGATACAGATTCATTCCCTAGTACAGTGGAAGTCAAATGATGCTTCAACGTTAAACCTTCAGAGTGACTTATGTTTGACAACGTACTTCCTTCTTCACTAGCAGATCCGCTAGTAGACTCCTCATTACTTGGTTTACTTTTTGTTGCTGGTTCCCTTTCAATTTCCACTGTATGTTCAGTCTCTTCATTTTCTTCAGGTGTTGCAGTTTTGCTTCCTTCAACATTTGTTTCTGTTTTCGACTCTGCAGTTGAAAGATTGCCCTTCTCACTAACAGTTTCACTAGTAGACTTCTCAGTGCTTGGGTTATGTTCAAGAACTGTAGTCTCTTCATTTTCCTCAGGCAATGCAGTGCTTCTTCCTTCGAAACCTGTTTCTGTCATTGAAATTTCTTCTGATGCTACTGTAGTTGACTTGTCCTCGTTAGCAGATTTACTAGTAGACTTCTTAGTACTTGGTTTATGTTCGGTCTCCTCATTTTCTTCAGGCGATGCAGTGCTTTTCCCTTCAAGGCTTTCTGTAATCGATCCTCCTGTGCTTTCCTCAGACTGAGACCTTGTTGAAATTTCTGATTTTTCTGTAATTGGCAAATTGCCTTCTTCACTAGCAGATTCACTAGTAGACTTCATGGTACTTAGCTTATATAGAGAGCTCGTTGAAACTTCTGATTTTTCTGTAGTTGATATGTTGTTTTTTTCGGTAGTAGATTCACCAGTAGTCTTTCCAGTATTTGGCTTATTCCCAGCAACTGTACGTTCAGTCTCTTCATTTTCTTCAGGTGTTGCAGTGGTTCCTCTTTCAATATTTGTTTCTGCCCCCGTCACTCCTGTTGTTTTTTCATACTGAGAGCTTGTTAAAGCGCCTGATTTTTCTGTAGTTGAGAGAATACCTTCCTCACTAACAGATTTACTAGTTGATTCTTTAGTACTTGGGTTATGTACAAGAACTGTAGTCTCTTCATTTGCCTCGGGCAATGTAGTGCTTCTTTCTTCGTAACCTGTTTCTGTCATTGAAACTTCTTCTGATGTTGCCTCCTCATTAGCAGTTTCACCAGCAATCTTCTTAGTACTTGTCTTATGTTCAACAACTGTATGTTCAGTCTCTTGATTTTCTTCAGGCGATGTAGTGCTTCTACCTTCATGATCTGCTTCTGTTTTGGACATTCCTGTTTCTTCCTTAGTCTGAGAACCTGTTGATATTTCTTCAGCTTTCTCTATAGTTGATATGTTGTTTTCTTCACTAGAGGACTCGCTAGCAGATACCTCGGTACTTTTTTCAGCTGAAGGTTCTTCTGCTTCCTTGGTTGTTTCTACCATTGAGATTTCTTCGCTTGTAGATTCACTAGTAGACTCTCCAGTTCCTTCTGATGATGGGCGTTCATGAATTTCCTCATTAGCAGATTCATTAGTATATATCTCAGTACGTAGCTTATTTCCTTCAGTAGAGGTTTCTTCCTGAATTTCTACATTCTTGGTTGTTTCTGCTCTTGAAACTTCTCCCGATTGTTCTGTTGATGATGTGCTGCCTTCGCTAGTAGGTACGCTAGTAGACACTTCACTACTTTGTTTGCTTCCTTTATTTGAAAGTTCTTCCTGAGTTACTTCCTCTGTGGTTGTTTTAGTCGTTTTAAAATTTTCAGCAACTATGTGTCCAGGCTCTTCAGTCTCCTCAGTCGAGAAAGAGTTTCTCTCTCCAGGATTTATTCCAGATGCTGTTTCAGTAACTTCTTCAGTATATACTGTTTTTACCACAGTGCTTCGTTCTGGTTCAGATTCCTCCTCAAAAGTTTCTGTTGTATGTTCTCCAATTGTCATTGAACTTTCGGAGCTGGTATGGAACCCTGTAGTTCTACTAGATGTTCCAGGATGTTGGGTATGTCGTACTGACACCGTAACTTCTGCAGTCATGTCTTCATCTTCTTCTTTCCATGTTTTAGTTTTGAACATAGAATAGTGTTTGTGATTCCTTGATGTACCTTTTGTTGTTTCTTGATTTTCATCTAATTTTTCCCATGCTGTATTTCCTTCAATGTTTTTAGAAAGTGTTGTTTGCCTTTCATGATGAGATCGGTGTTCTCCAGTTTCAGTTGCTTCAGCTGAAGTACCTTGCTCTTCTTCTGATGCTGAGACGAGATATTTTCTGGAAGTTCTATTTTCGGTAACTTCTTCAGGAGCAGTGGACTGTTCATATGTTTCGCTCTTGTGAACTGTTTCTCCCCTGCTGGTCGTCTGTTCTAGTTCAGATTCCTCTTGATCAGCAGTTGCATGTTTTCCATATATCGTTGAAATCTCTGTATGGAATTCTGTCGTTTTTGCAGTCCTTCCAAGAGGTTCAGTAGGTTGTATTGACGCCATTGTTTCTATTTTATGTTCTTCAGCTGATGCATTTAGTTCTTCTTCTGAGGTTGAGGTGAGATGTTTTCTGTTACTTGAGGCCTCAAAAAGAGAAACACCGTTTTCAGTAACCACAGTGATTACAGAATCAGTGGCTTGTTCAAATCTCGCGCTAGTGAGAACAGTTTCTCCACTGTAAGTGGTCTGTTCTGACTCAGACTCTTCCTGCGTGCCTGAATCGGTACGGGATCCTGTTGTTGATGAAGACGTTCCAAGATGTTCAGTATTATGTACTGTTACGGTTACCTCTACAGTAATATCCTCTTCTTGTTCTTTCCATGTTTCAGTTGTGGGGCTGGCTTTCTTTTCTTGACTCTCTGAATTACCTTTAGTTGTTCCTTGGTTCCCGTTTGTTGTACTTCCTCCAATGCTTTTCAAAACTGTCGATTGCTTTTCAGCAGTAGTTTTGTATTCTCCAATTTCAGTTGTTCCAGTTACATGCTCTTGAATTGATGGAGTTGATTCCTCTCCTGAGGTTGAGGTGACATGCTTTCTACTACTCGTGGCTACAACATTGCTTGTAACCACTGTTTCAAATTTCTGAGAGATAGTTTTTTCATTCTGTTTCTCTGCAGGTCCCTGAGAGGTCAATAACGGTTCAGTATTTTGTATGGTGGTACCCAAATCTGAGCATAGCTCGCATAGCGTAGGTTCGTGCTTATTATGAAAATTGAATGCATCCATTTCTTCTTTTGGGCTTGGGGCTGGTGATGGAGTAGCAAGATCATGCTTATTAGTTACAGCTTCTTCTCCACTTTCACATATTTCACATAAAGTAGATGTCTCACCTTTGCCTTTGAAATTAAACTCATCTAGTTCTTCTACGATGTCCATGTTACTTTGAGGCTTGCTTTTTTCTTCAGAAGTCCCTTGCTCAGATTGACACATTTCACATATCGTAGACGTTTCGTGTTTATTGAAACCGAATGCATCCGAAGATTCTTCAGGCTTCTTTTTTTTGACTTTTCCAGCTTTGCCATGTTGGCATTCATCACATATAGTAGATGTTTCATGTCTACTGAAAGCGAACTCATCCAAGGGTTCCTCGTCGTGAACATCTCTGACCGTTATCGTTGCTTTACTGGCAGGGATCTCTGGAAATGCAACAGTCTGATCGATCTGAGCTTCAGACATTGCTGTAGCTTTAGCAGACACCTTTCCAGCAGTGGAAGTATGGTGATCTGGAGCAAATGCACTTGTTTCTGATACAAACTGATCAGGTTTCTTTGTAGGTTCATTGGTTAGGCCAGGTGTATCTGTTTTACTTACAGGTATATTCTCAGTTAAAATCTGGATAGTTTCCTCTGAAGAATTGCCTTGGATGTATATTTTGACCTCAACTCTTTTGTTTGGTATGACATTGGTTTGATTAACGATGTGACATTCGCATTGTCTTATAGTGACACCAGTGGTATTCCCATTGGTCTGAACATGAGTTTCTGAACCAGTGTGGTCAGATATTGACGTAGATATACTTGAAAGCTCTGACACTTGAGACTTAGTATGAGTCACTATTACTTCTGAGGTAGGCACTTGAGATGAAGTGGTTGTAGTGCTTGCACTTGAGACTTTTGGCTGTTGGGTTTCCATGGGATGAACACTAAAACTTGTTCCTACCTCTCCCGTACTTAAAGCAGTATGCTGGATGCTCTGTGTCACAGAGAAGTGCTCCCCTGTTCTTCCCATTTCTGTTGTAGGCATATGAGATCCATAGAATTCTTCTACGGAACTTATTCGATTTGTGGTTGTCTCCATATTTTCATTAAATTCTGTACATCCGGTTCCCATAGAATGCTCTTGAGCAATTAGTTTTTCGGAAGCTGTTGATAATTCTGGTGATTTTTCTTCTGATTCAGTCAGAGATGACGAGTGATGTTCGTAACCTACATTTATCTGGGTAGTCGTTTCGTTACTTGAGGTTGTTTTCTTTGAGATACTCGCATTCTCTGGGTACTCTGAGGAATGATCTTGAAGTGAAACTCCACCTGAAAATGTCTCTGTTTGTTCAACAGTTACTTCGGTCACATATATACTGGTCACTTCAGAAGTTCTCGTAGTCCCTACCGAATGAGTTCCTGAAACATCCTCTTTTTTGACTGTTAAGGATTCTGAAGGACCTTCACTTGTTGCTCCAGTTTCCATGGTACTTTGTTTTGAGGTTTCTTTAGTATCTGGATACTCTGTAGTTTGTAATACTATTTCTAAAGGCGCTACGCTTGTTCCAGCTTGAGAATCTCCTGTCGAATGACCTTCATTGCTTTCTTCACTAGGCTCCCTTGTCGTTGAGCTTTCCTGTTTTGTTGCGGTTTGATAGGGAACTTCTCCGTGAGTGGATGAATGTCTAAAAGGAGTACTGCTTGAGGCTCTCATTTCTGAGACTTCGGTTGTATTTTCAAACTGGCTTATAGTTGCTCCTGTTCTTTCATTTTCCATGCCGTTTGTAGAAACTTGACTTTGTTCGATTGACATTCCTTTAGAGGGAAGGATACTCTGGGTCATTCCTTCATTCAGTGTCTCAGCATTTTTTTGCGACTGACCCTCGGATGCTATTCCACCAGTCACCTCATGTTCCGCAGTTTCTTTCTGTAATTCGGTGGAATGATTTTCAGAAATTTGACTGGACTTAGATTCAGTGGGATGACCAGTTGACGGACTAACTTGTGTAGATTCATGAGTAATTTCGCTCATTTTTTCTTTGCTGGAAGTTGATCCTCCAATTTGTGTGACCTCTGTGACAGTATTATTACCAGGTGTTTCACTAATCTCCCAACAACTCGTACTCTCTATATATTCGTCTGTAAAATTATTACCTGATTGCATTTGCGTGTTTGAAACCGTGCCAAGAAGCTCTGTTGCTCCTTCTGATGTTATTAAAGTTACTTCACTATTTGGCTCTGCATTATTGATCAATGAAGGTACGTTTACAGGAATCGCTTCATTGGATGAAGCAGCGGTATCTGTAAGCGTTTCTTGGGTATCATGCAAATTTGTAGTGGTGCCTAATACCTCAGATTCCATAGAATGCGTCTTTGATTCCGTTTTTGTAGTACCTTTCTCACTTTCACTGGTACTTGATGCAGTATATGTTCCAAAATAGGTACCAGTTTCCATTGAAAACTGTGATGAGTATTCTGATGGCTTGTTGGTATAATCTACGCTAGGCGCTTTAGAAGATGTTTCAATATAGTAAGTTGCTTCACTTACATTGTTAAGTAAGGGACGTTGACCTTCAGTGATTGTATATGCTATGCTACCTGTGATTGATGAGCTAGTTTGTTCTGTTGATACAATACTGGAGTGTATGGTACTTGCTTCACCAACCATGGCATTAGTGTCTATTTCAATTGAAGTCGATGTGGTTTCTACGGATAAGCTGTTGATTTCAACTGTTGTTGTAGAATGACCTTCCACAGTACCAGCATATTGCTCTGTACTACCAGCTTCAATTGCACCTACGTTCTCTTCAGTTTTCGCACTGCTGAACTCCTGACGTGTAGATTGACTTTCTACAGACGTTTGAACTCCAGGAGTACTACCATGTTCAGTAACTTCAATTTTTGTTGCAGATCCACCTCCACCTATATAAGTTGCCATTACCGCAGTTGCTTCAGTTGTATTTGCAATGCCAGTAAATACAGAGCCTGTTATAGATAGTGTTGTGGTCTCTAGTGATTGATCTAATATCACGGAGGGTTCAGTTTTGGAAGTCACAGACGAATGTTGTATTGCGATCTGCTCTATTGAAGTAGATTGATTCCATACAGTAGATTGTTCATTTGAATTTAAACTATACGCTTGTTTGGTCTCAGGGATTTCGGAAGGTAAATAGGTAATCAGTTTTGTTATTTCTGTAGGTCCTCTGTCATTTCCTTCAGGTAAAGCTGTTTTAGAAGGAGTACTGGTAAGTTTGATGTTGGTTTCGCTGGAAAGTGCTGTTGTATTGCTTTGTTCTTCTAATTCTGCATTTGACTCAGTAATGAAGGTTGTACTGCCTATATTTACCATATTTGAGGTTATGGCAAGATTTTTCTCCACCTCCTGCGTACTGGAAGATTCACTTGAAGTGAAGTCAAGATATATTGTTGGATGACGTGTCATATTTTCATCGGCGACATTTGAAATTACGTCAATGCTTCCTTCTTTCCCTTTTATAATTTCTGAAGTGTTTGCATTGATTTCGTACGTAGCGGTTCTATAGTATTCTTCACTTACTTCTTCAGCAGCTGTTGAACGGCCTGGTGATGCTTCTCCTGAAGACGTTCCATTTGGTTCTGTTGAGGTTTTTATTGAAGCAACTTGAGTAACAGTAGTCGTTTCGTTGTTCATTGTAATGCTTTGTGTCATAGTAGAAAGCATCCCCTCTTTTCCAGTGTGTGGTATTTCAGATGTACCTCTAGCTGTACCGTTCTCAGTTTTTGGTGCGAGTGTTTCTTCTGAATGTACACTATTATTTACTGTTGGACTTTGTAGTGAGGTAGTAGCACTAACGGTGTTAGTATATGTTTCTGTTTCCATGTTGATATTTTGTTTTGAGGTGGGTTCCCCAATAGTTGTGATAGACGGTCCTTCTTTTGCGGTGTTTATCATTTCGGAACCTGGAGAAGTTATTAAGGTCTGTTCGTACACAGCTGTAGTTACATGAGTTTCACCTGTCGTTATTTCTGTGATAGATGGAGTAGATGTAACTTGTGGTTCTTCAACGTTCGGTTCATGTGCTTTTTCTGGAGTTGATCCGTTGTTCTCTGTTGGATTCTGCAAGGAAACAACTTCACTAACTATCGAGGTGGCACTTTCTGAACTCATCGCAATACTTTGTATTGATGATACCTCCGAAGTTATTCCTTTCTTATCTGTGTTGGATATTTCCAAGCCTTCATGTACTGTTCCTTCATTTACGTGGGTCTCTGCAGTTACCACTTCTCCCTTGATGGATGACGATATAGCAGTAGTCATCTCTGTATCTATTGCAATATTTTGTTTTGATGACAATTCTTCGAGTGTCGTAGTAGAAGATATTCCTCCATTAGCTTTGTGTGATATTTCAAAACCTCCAATTACGGTTTCAGATATTTTTGTGGTATGCAAATTTGAACCAGCTGTCGGTTGTATGTTGAACAATGTTTCCGTGATATTTTCTTCACATTCTTCACATTCTTCTAAGGTAGAAGTCTGGCGTGTTTCATTTGTCAAGGTTGCAATCTCTGATGCCATTTCACTGGTTGTCTCATGTTCTACAGATGTTTCTTTCTGTACTTGACTGGTATTTGACTCAGTGGGTTGATTAACAGAAGCTAGTGTTTCAGTATTATTCTCAGTAGAAATCTGTCTACTGGTGCTTTCTTCGTTAGATGTTAGGTCTGCGATTTCGGAAGATTCTGTGGTGCTATTGTCAGATAACTCACTAATCTCCCAGCAACTTGTATTTTCTATACCTTCGTCTGTTGCAGCAGAATTGTCACTCGTTTGCATTTGTGTAGCAGAAATCATACCAGGAAGCTCTATGGAATAACCAAGTGAAGTTTCTATTTCTTCTGGAGTAGCAGGCATTGAGTGTCCTTCCGATGTTTCATTTCTGGGAAGCTCAGTCTTTACATTTGGTTCGAAACTGAGAACATGAGATGTTATTTCGAGAGCAGTTTGTGACGGGACGCCTCCGCTTTGCTGTTTAAGGTCTTCTTGGGTAATAGATGTTTCAGTCACTCTTAGTTGTACACTGGTCGTACCTTCAGCTGAGACTTCTGACTGAAGAATTAAATCACTTGTCTTACCGTGTTTTGAAGTGAATGCGTTGCCGTTTGTTGTCAGAGTTTCTACTTGCTTCGATTCCGACGCTGATGAAATGTGTTTAGCTGAAGAGCAGCTACAGGTTTCTTCAGATTCTTCTTGTTCTACTGAAGTTGTATATTCGTTCAGCTTTGAAGTTGCAAGTCGTTGTACTGTTGAAGATATTTCAGAATGTGGAGCTTCCTGAGTGATATTTTCTTTTGACGAAGTAGTAATTAGCTCTGAGTTTGAAACAGTACTGTGACTCATTTCGATTACATTTTCTGTAACAATTTCTTCATTGCCTTTATGCGGAGGTACGTTGGTTTGTTTTATCTTATACATTGACGACGACGTTTCATTTTCGCTGCTCGTCTGTCGAACTGTTGGTGAGATCGGTGATGGTTCATGGGCTTCTGCTTGTTCCGATGTTTTCGCTTCAAGTATAACAATGCTATGTTTATTAAACGTGAATGTATGATCCACATGTTGCCATTCACAGCGCACTTAACGTTTGACTTTTAACGGGCTTTATGGTGCATTTTTTGATATTATACGGACAGATACTCTCCGCTTAGCACGGCATTATGGCCTACGCTAATCTATGCTATTATAGCAAATGGAGATGTAAATAGTATGAGAAACAATAATCCGTTATTGTTTATTGCCAAACTTCTAGAGGGCACCACTCACAGCACTATTTCGGCAAATAAGTTATCTCAGTTTTTTGTGCTACCCTGTATACAACAACATCAGAATATTCGTCAAACGTATACTCCATGATGTTTAACTACTTATTTTCTGAAAAACAAAACGTAAGGCACTGGATAGCATTTGTATGGGCTTTCAACGCCTGAGTACCTGCTAAGTAAGATAGAAGTAAGAAATTCAGATGGTTGATTTTTGTCTTCCTTACAAAGTAATAGTCGGCGCTACCAGACCAGTTTCCGCAGGTTATAACATGCTTTAAACAAGGAATTCAGCTATAAAGCGTTATCTCTCTTAACTTTTTTATATTAATTAATATTTATGGAAAGTAATATGTTTGTTCTTGGAGAAAAGCAATAGACTGGGGATATTCTGTTTAGGTAAATTGAAGACATATGGTATATCAGGAAGTCTAGATTAAAAGCTATTTATCTAAAGCGGTGCAAGTTATAAAAGATAACACTATTTTATCAAAAATTGAAAATTCGTTAGGTGTTCTACAGCGCACTATCCTGGGACCATTTCATTTTATTTTATACATAAGCGATTTACCTGCCACGCTCAAAAAATGCAAAATTAAAATTTTCGTCGATGACACTGATTAATATAAATGGTTAGCATCTAACAACTTCAAATTGAATACAAGTAAAACGAAGGCTCTGTTAATTGAAAAACATAATGTCTAAATTTACAACTAATTCATTGTGAAAATATTGAATTCATAGAAAACTTTAAATACCGTACGAGCCCCTTCCCACTTCAGATGGCCCACTTCAAGATTTGTACCAAAATATGCCCTTATAAACTAAAAATGACGAAACTATTTACTTCTAAAACAATTTATTTTCCCAAAAACATTTTAGATACACTCTAGTCGTGAAAAAGGCATATTTGAAATCACCTATAACTAATAGAACATCTGAACAAATAAACAATGTGCGAATAAATGCGCGAAGTTAACAAAGCAACAATTGAAAGATTACCATTGGGTAACATCACCTTTATTTTTAATTACGGCTGAAATTCTTTGGGGCCTAGTGTTAACCAAGTTTTGGCAAAAATTTGGTGTAAAACAATCCCACATTTCTTGAAGCTTTTGTCTCAGTTCGGTGATTGTACGAGCAGGATGTTGTCGTAGAACCTTTTTCATCTCGTGCCACAAAGTTTCAATAGGTGACAGATCTGGACTGCTAGAAACCCATTTCAAAAGTGGTACATTATTTTCTTCCATCCATTTTATAGTCTTTTTTGAGGTATGGCACGCTGCACCATCTTGCTGAAACACAAAATCTTGACCGGATGTCAAACATTCTTCCATCACTGGTAAAAGCGATTCTTCTAAAATTGCCAAATATTTGTTTGTATCCACATTTCCATCAATAAAATGAAGTTATCCTACTTCTTTTGATGACATACTGCCCCAGACCATAATGGATGCTGGCAATTTTACTTTTCTCTTCAGACAGTCAACATGGAATGCTTCACTTTTTTTGCGAATAACTCTACTGCGACTGTCACCAACACAAACTTCGAATCGGGCCTCAGAACTCCATTGTATTGCACACCATTGTTGAGGTGTCCATTGTCTATGTTCTTTAGCCCATCTAAGCCGATTTTTCTTTTGCAGTGGAGTTAATAGTGGCTTTTCTTTGGCCTATAAACAAGTTGTGCCACTTTAGGGTTTTTACTTCACTTTTTTTATAAGAAAACTTACCTTGCAAGTGCCAAATCCCAGTTTGTGAGGCTCTCTATGAGTTGTGGACCTCTTAATTCTCCTTCCAACAGCGTCACTCCACAGAGCAGTTTATTGTAAATAATTGGCACGCCTGTTTTTCACGATTATTCTTCTTAACACGTTCACTGCCACGTTGGTCCTATAGGGCCAACACTCATGTTGCCTCAGCAGGCCACATTGGTCCAATAGGGCCTATATATATTTTGCCTTACCAGGCTATGTTGGTCCCATGGGGTCAACGCATTTTCTAATAGCTGCTGGGCCGTTGGCGCTCATTTACCTATGTACGCCTGCAGAAATGGACCAACATGGCCTAGAAGCTATACGCCGCACATATAATTTCTTTGCTTTTTCCATAATGAGGAATGTAGCCCCGATGGGACCAACGTCTTTTTTATATGGTGGCCCACTAGTGCTCAACGTAAAATACATGTTTGGCGTAGTGGACACATGTTAAAAAATATGTCTGGCAGCGAACGTGTTAATGCTCTTCGGTCGGCATTTGTGATATTACTTTTTTTCATATATCGTGGCTTAATATTAACTGGATCAGTTACGTTATGTCTTCTAACAATATTTCTCACACTATACCGCGATAAGTGTAACAAAGTTACAGTTGAGAGAGTTTGATTTCCCAGAATTAAAAAATTTAATTATCAGTAACCGAATTTTCTCACTAATAACCTTTCCTCTACCCATTTTGAAAACCTTAACTACCCAAAACTATTTTAAACGTATCTTGACAGCTGTGGTTAATAAAAACAATTGTCATTGCTTTTTTTTCACAGCCACCTATGCGTTATAGACTTGTGTTATTTTTATGTTGCACATTTGATGAGGGAGTGATAAAGTTGGTGTTTTCTACTATATATTATCAAAATATTCATTGTTTATATTTTAAACCTATAACACCCTGTTACATTTTTATTATTTGTGTTTGATAATAAAAAAACTAAGATTTCAATAGTTGGGCCAACTGAAGTGGGAAGGGGCTCGTAGTAGATAAATTATCTAACGTATAATAGTATCATTCCTCCAAATTTCTTGTACTGCTCGACTCACATATTTAAATAATAAAATTGTTTGAAGACTGTGTATTTTATAAATCAAGCACATGAGAATAATGTACTCCAATTAGACAAATGCTTAGCAAATTAAAATGGCCCAATGAGAATTTTTTTATCAAATATCTTGTAATTATATTAATTTATGAAGTAAAAGATAATATATTTCCACCCTCATTAACTGAATTAAAGCATCATCAAATGCCGTCCATCATTTACACAATACCAGAAATAATGATTCCATTCAATGTCCAAAAAGTGTAATATAAGTTACAAATCTGTATCGCTTCAGTATAATAAATTAAATACAGAGATAAGCGACCAGAAGACTTTGATAAAATTCAAAGTACAACTGAGGAATCACTTGTTAAATCTGCAATTATAGCTTTTCCGGGTTGTGCATCATATGGTTGGAATTTACTATATGTAGTTGTAATCACCGTTCTTGGCGGGTCAAAGACTACCACTATCCCTCTATACAGGGTGTCCGCAAAGTTGGGGTTTTCCTTTTCAGAAACAACTACTTGAAATAACAAAGGTAATGTGTAGTGAAACGAGGGCGACCAAGTAAAAAAAAATAAAGGAAAAAGTACTCACTCTCCAGTTGACGAGAAGGGCTAAGTACGTCTCTGCCCGAAATCATACCGCTCCAACAGAAAATGAAATCAGCTGATGCGCTACCGAGCAGACGCCGGCGGTGGTGCAGACCACGAACGGAGGTAACAAATATGACCATCGTGCAGAAACCACATTGATTGTCTTACACTTAATGGCACATCTTCTAACAAGGAAGGCAAAATGTTGCGTAAAAAGTCTAGGTATTGCATCCCGTTGAATCGATTTGGGAGAATAAATGGTCCAATGAGCATACCGTTCACCATGCCAGCCCAAACATTCACCGAAAATGTTTGTGGAAAATGTGCCCGATGGACAGCGTGCGGATTTTCTACTGACCAAACATGAGTGTTGCGAAAGTTATTCACCCCATTACGCGTAAACTTAGATTCGTCTGTCACCAATATGCACTTCAAAAAGTCCGGATTATTGTCATGTTGATGCAACAACCACTCACAAAACCGCACTCTTGCTGGAAAATCGTCAGGTTGAAGGGCTTGTACACGTTGGACGTGAAACGGATACAGCCCCTCTTCACGCAGCGTTTGCCACACTTTAGTTTTTGATACTTGCACTTCTCTAGCCACGTCTCTAGTGTTTGTTGTTTTTTGAAACGCAATCGATTATACGGGTTCGTTTACCTCTACACGCGTGACCGTAACCGTCGGTTGAAGGTTGCATACTGACCTGACACACTGACCCCGACCCAGTTCTGTCGTCGGGTTGAGCCAGTGACCTTGTACCACTCGGTGATGTCGCGGCTACAGGACGGTATTCAGATATTTTTTATGTTGCAGAGCCCTTTATCTCGGTTCCCTTAAGACATTGGTGTATATGGTACTAAGAAAAATTACTTATGTTTTCAAGATCTACACGTCGTGTAAAGGAAAACCCCAACTTTGCGGACACCCTGTATATCTCTATCTCCCTCATACATACACATGCAGCCTACCCCTGTGTGTTGACGTTTGCTCGGTTAGCTGAAACACACATTTTTTAGTTGAGTGTCTTCATCTCGAAAACTTTGTCGTTGCGTATGAGTGCCCTTCAGTCATATTTGTCAGAGTGACAACCTACTTGGGGGCCGTTCAAGTATTACGTAAGCAGATTTATTACAATTATTTACCCCCCCATCCCCTTTGTCAGCAAAAGTAAGCAAAGCTCTTACCCCGTCCCCCCATGCTTACGTAAACATTTGTCAATGTATTGTTATTTTTAATATT